TCAGAGGATTACTGGCAAATCAACATTAGCTCTAAACTCAATATATATACGCACAATGCAAGTAATAATTTAGACCCTAACTAGCGCGAGAAAATGAGAGCTGAAAGAAACATTACATCAATCAACGATATCAGGTGACAACAGATGCGATAAATTCACCACTAGAAAGTAACCATGCAACCACAAGCGAGAACTACTGATCTAAATTCACAAACAATTTCAACGTGAACAAATTCTTTTTATGCCTACACAAAATCGACTTCCTTGGTGCCGTCATCAGGTGTGTCCACCTCCGGTGGCAAAAAAACGTAGCCGACCACCGAAGAAACCACCGGATGGTGTGTCTGCGGGACCAGTGACTCGCTCTAGGGCGAGGTTGGCAGAGTCTTTATCGTCTCCGTCGTTGTCGTCATCGTCGACGTCAGCATCTTCCTCATCTCCCTCCTCCTCTTCATCAACATCAACAGCCATTGGAACGTCAAAGGGAGCATCATCGCAGCAGGCAGTGCCAGTAACGGACGTGCCTTTGGTACTGACATCTACATCAGCCTCGTCTGGATTGGCAGTAACGGCAAGGAATGTCAGGTTGGTTTCATTGTCACGTAATTCCAAAGTATGTGCTGGTTCTACAGTCCGTTTCAAAAAGATTTACAATCCTGGCGATCGCCCTCGGAGTTTGGCGTCTTACCGTATGAGCACTCGAGCGCTGCCTGGAAAAACCCACTGTGAACTCGAAGAAATATTCCACGCGAAAGCAGGAAAAATGACAACTCACTCACGATCACGTTGATACTGTCATGTACGTCTGGTTTACAACAAACGAGTTCTTCTTCGTATCGATAATGGAGTCAGAGAGGACATGTCGAAACGAAAGTGTTGTAAATGTTGACGAGCTGCATGGGTCCCAATTCGTTTTGTGACCAAAATAGTTTCTTTGAGCTGCGATGCAATTTACTCACCGTGTGACGAAAATGACATCGACACGGACATATTCCCAAGGCCATGTCTTGGCAAAGCTATCCGTGTGACTTCGACGACATTTTGAGAAAAGCAGACGCTTGTGAACGCTGATAGAAGACGGCGTTGACTGCTAAATTCAAATAAATTGGCGATCTTGAAAATACTAAAATAAATCTCAAAAAGCTACAGCGCGATGACTTCCATTATAATTCACTCACACCATTGCAGTGTTGTGGGTGTGTTCACATGGCGTGAGCCAGTCAAGTGTCAGTCAGTTCGGCAGGAAGCGCGAGCTCCAACAACAAGTCGTTTGGTGCAGCCATCTTCTTTGTCTTGTATGTACCAGCTTGATCACCAAAACAATGAAAAAAAGTTTGACTTGAGGATAGGTTGGGATTTGAACTCACAACTTCATGGTCAGCAGACAGCATTCATAACCACAAGGCCAAAAAGGAAAGGATAAATCGTGGGTTTTGATAAAAAATCGATACTGGCTTCCTGGGCAAATTGTAAACCATGGGAAAAGGCCGGAAACCTGGCCGAAATTCTAACTCCTTAACGGTTGGTCCAATTGTTCCGAAACCTTCACAGAACAATTTGCCGTGTCCTAACAAGCCATTCTATGTACTTTGTTGTCCAAATTTCCCTTATCTTCATACTTTTTAAGACCCAAACCTGATTGTAAATCTTTTTGAAACAGACTATAGTAGTGGTGTTAGGGTGTATGAATCTTCTGTTGCTAACCATCTTGTTCAGAATAGTGATTGTCGTTCTAGTTATACTGATGATTGCTTTTCTGTTTGGTCTCGTTCACGTAGTCAAAGGTATTTGCGTGTATTGGAGTCTATCTACATTTTTACCACCAAGCCGATTGTGTGTAGGCAGAAAAAGAATTTGTTCACGCTGAAATTGTTTGTGAATTTAGATCAGTAGTTCTCGTTTGTGGTTGCATGGTTACTTTCTGGTGGTGAATTTATCGCATCTGTTGTCACCTGATATCGTTGATTGATGTAATGTTTCTTTCAGCTCTCATTTTCTCGCGCTAGTTAGGGTCTAAATTATTACTTGCATTGTGCGTATATATATTGAGTTTAGAGCTAATGTTGATTTGCCAGTAATCCTCTGATGAGATGGCGACGAAAACGTTTAGGAACAAGCTTCTTTATTTACATAAAAACAAGTTTTGCTAATGGTGTTTGTACTGAGTGCGCAGCTTACTCTATTTATTGCGTTGATTACATTTTTATCTCCACGTAAGCTTAATAATAATAAAGTCATAAAATCTTCACTAGTTTGAGGGAAAGAGACAAACGGGAAAAGTCTGAAGAAAAAATTGACTGTCACCACCAGGACTCAAACCAGGGACCTTCGCTTGTAGCCAGCGATGCTCTAACCACTGAGCTATGGTGTAGTCGTCATCCCAGCAGAGACTGTTCAACATTTTCTTCAGACTTCGTAACTCACACTTCCTGTGAATCCACACAGGCGGGTGGGACGCAGCCCTCACTGTACCCACACACTTCACGTACACTCTAGCACGCGGGGAGCCCCAAGTCATAAAATCTTCACTAGTTTGAGGGAAAGAGACAAACGGGAAAAGTCTGAAGAAGAAATTGACTGTCACCACCAGGACTCGAACCAGGGACCTTCGCTTGTAGCCAGCGATGCTTTAACCACTGAGCTATGGTGTAGTCGTCATCCCAGCAGAGGCCGTTCAACATTTTCTTCAGACTTCGTAACTCACACTTCCTGTGAATCCACACAGGCGGGTGGGACGCAGCCCTCACTGTAACCCACACACTTCACGTACAAACTAGCACGTGGGGAGCCCCAAGTCATAATAATAATAATAATAATAATATTGACTGGTAATAATAATAATAAATGGTTTGCTCCCCACACCGGAGCTCGCGCTATTCCGCCGACTTTACTTGACACTTGACTGACTCACGACTGCCATTCAGAGCACACGAGAAGTCCATCGAACCTTCGACTCGGCAAACCTGCAAGAAAGCACCACTCCCTGCTCAATACACAGTGTTTCGGGGAATTCACCCCTCATCAGTTGAGCTTGAGTAGGCTGAGGAAGATTGTGCCTGAAGAGCACCACTTATATAGTGCTCTCCAGGCACAAACATCACCAGGGATACAAACTTACAGAGACGCTCCGTTTCAAGCGCGACAAACACCTCGTGAACACCAGTGTGGGGAGCAAACCATTTCTTACAAATCATCGCCGAAGTCGCAACCACTACTTCGTAATAATAATAATAATAATAATAATAATAATAATAATAATAATAATAATAATAATAATAATAATAATAATAACTAGTGTGAGTCAGTCAAGTGTCAAGTAAAGTCGGCGGAATAGCGCGAGCTCCGGTGTGGGGAGCAAACCTTTCTTAGTGAAAATAATAATAATAATATTTTTTTTAGAATTGCGATCAACAGAACGAGCTGAACCGACATTTCACAAAGGCTTTTATTGTATTCAAAAAACGAGTGGATACGAAGGCAGTGAAGAACATGGAAGAATAATAATAATAATAGTTCGAGTCCTGGTGGTGACAGTCAATTATTTCTTCAGACCTTTCCCGTTTGTCTCTTTCCCTCAAACCATTTAATATATTATGACTTGGGGCTCCCCGCGTGCTAGTTTGTACGTGAAGTGTGTGCGTTACAGTGAGGGCTGCGTCCCACCCGCCTGTGTGGATTCACAGGAAGTGTGAGTTACGAAGTCTGAAGAAAATGTTGAACGGCCTCTGCTGGGATGACGACTACACCATAGCTCAGTGGTTAGAGCATCGCTGGCTACAAGCGAGGGTCCCTGGTTCGAGTCCTGGTGGTGACAGTCAATTTTTTCTTCAGACCTTTCCCGTTTGTCTCTTTCCCTCAAACCAGTTAATATTTTATGACTTGGGGCTCCCTGCGTGCTAGTTTGTACGTGAAGTGTGTGCGTTACAGTGAGGGCTGCGTCCCACCCGCCTGTGTAGATTCACAGGAAGTGTGAGTTACGAAGTCTGAAGAAAACTTTGAACGGTCTCTGCTTGGATGACGACTACACCATAGCTCAGTGGTTAGAGCATCGCTGGCTACAAGCGAAGGTCCCTGGTTCGAGTCCTGGTGGTGACAGTCGATTTTTTCTTCAGACTTTTCCCGTTTGTCTCTTTCCCTCAAAACCAGTTAATAATAATAATAATAATAATAATAATAATTTGAAAGTAGGACGGAGGCAGAAAATATTACAAAAAATGTATTATCTACGCATGCATCTACGCAAGAGTCACCACCAGCCAATTAGGACATGTGTCAAAGTATTGAACGTTTTCGTTCCCTTCTTGTCAAAATACTACAGGGAATGATGGAAATAAGCTAAAAGACTACAACTATAAGGAAAAGAAGTTCAGAAATATATCACTCCAATTACAGGTCTACTCTCTATATAACGTAATCTCTGGGACCACGCAAACATTATGTTATATCGAGAGTTATGTTATGTAGAAAACCGTGTGTAAAATACAAGATGCACCTCAAAATGAAGGGTATTGCAAGGCGGGTTCAACCGTGCAAACATATACACTGTACCACCATCGACATCAGATACCATCAATGCCGCAGAATATATGCACATAGGACTAAACTGGCTAGCTACGACTACAGCTTGATTGTACCGCGCACGTGAATCTACGTTGTATCGAGAGTGTACACGTCGGGGACTGCGCCGTAGGGTGCGTTATGCCGAGGTTTACGTTATGTAGGACTAAACTGCCTAGCTACAGCTAGCTACCGCTTGATCATACCGTGCACGTGAATTTATGTTGTATCGAGAGTGTGCACGTCGGGGACCGCCGTAGCGTGTGTTATGTCGAGGTTTATGTTATGTAGGATTATGTTGTGTAGAACAAATTTTGTATGGGAGTGATGCTGTTTCGGCGCGGGATTTGATTTTTTTATGTACTAACGAGGTTTATGTACAAGTGAGAGTTGTTATATCGAGAGCAGACCTGTATGTGTAGAAGTGACACGAAAAAATAGATGTGAAGAATCAAGAAAACAGCATGCAAATCCAATAAGTGACAAAAACGTAGTGACAAGAAAAAGAGAGAAATATCAAGAGATCTATTTCGCACCTTCACGACGAACAGTGCCAAACAACTGCAAAGACAACACATTCTCCTTCTGAACACAAAGCTCAGGGTCTAACTTACGTATGTACAAAGCTTCCAACACGGCAAGATGTAACAAAGACCTACCACGCGACAAAACAGAGAATACATCATCGGAATACCACGCACGACAACTAGCACTGCCCGACAGGAGCCAACCCAAACAACAGTCAACAAGAAGAAGAGACCGATACGGAAACCACCGAAACTGACATCTGGACAATCGAGCCCCGGACGAGTCACCAGAAGTCAATTGAGGAGACGAATTGATGACGAATCAAAAGAACCAGTACTGGAAGTGACAACAACGGTTAATGTGAAGAAACGAGGTTGACCACGGAAGCAGGACAGACTGGACGTGGAGCAGCACACTGATCTCGACCGAGGCAATCGGAATTGCAGGGACGCAGGGCGTAATGGGGGAGATTCGCAAGCGGCAATATCGGAGGTGACAACGGCCAAGTCGTCGGGTCAGGGAAACGGTACCTCGGCAATCAAGTGTCACCTGTCGGGCAGTGCTAGTTGTCGTGAGTGGTATTCCGATGATGTATTCTCTGTTTTGTCGCGTGGTAGGTCTTTGTTACATCTTGCCGTGTTGGAAGCTTTGTACATACGTAAGTTAGACCCTGAGCTTTGTGTTCAGAAGGAGAATGTGTTGTCTTTGCAGTTGTTTGGCACTGTTCGTCGTGAAGGTGCGAAATAGATCTCTTGATATTTCTCTCTTTTTCTTGTCACTACATTTTTGTCACTTATTGGATTTGCATGCTGTTTTCTTGATTCTTCACATGTATTTTTCGTGTCACTTCTACACATAATTGGAGTGATATATTTCTGAACTTCTTTTCCTTATAGTTGTAGTCTTTTAGCTTTAGCTTATTTCCATCATTCCCTGTAGTATTTTGACAAGAAGGGAACGAAAACGTTCAATACTTTGACACATGTCCTAATTGGCTGGTGGTGACTCTTGCGTAGATGCATGCGTAGATAATACATTTTTTGTAATAATTAGGGGTGAAAGGGGTGATCCGGGTAACCCGGGTACCAGTCTGTTTAGCTGCTGATCCGTTAGCAAACGAGTACCCGTTAGTCGTGTAGGATTGTAGGGTACAGTATTATAAGCTTGCTTGTAGTTGTACAGTTCAGTGCACAGTTTTGAGTGTGTTTTTCCTCGTTCAATCCTGCTACATATCACGGTATCCATTGTAGCTACAACAACTTTGACTGTTTGCATGTAGCGCAGTAATTGTGCACGCTGTGCTTGTCGCGGTGTAGTGTACTTGCATGACTTCGCATATCCTCCTGGCGTGAAATCCGGAAGGCTACTGTGGCTAAATTGTTGTTCGAAAATCTCTCTCCTATCAGAATGCCTGTAAAAGAAATGTTGCGCTTACGATCCCAAGCAAATGCAACGTTTTTGGAAAAAGTATGGCGGATAAAGGGTACCCGATAACCCGCCCGTTACGCCAGATACCCGTTTGTTACCTTAAAGGGTAACCGTTTCACCCCTAGTAATAATAATAATAATAATACTCTGAAGAAAAAGTTGAACGGTCTCTGCTTGGATGACGACTACACCATAGCTCAGTGGTTAGAGCATCGCTGGCTACAAGCGAGGGTCCCTGGTTCGAGTCCTGGTGGTGACAGTCAATTTTTTCTTCAGACTTTTCCCGTTTGTCTCTTTCCCTCAAAACCAGTTAATAATAATACTAATAAAACAACTTACGCGTGCACCGTTGGACTTGGTTACCATCCAAGCACACCGGCTGAGCGGAGTTGTAATCATATCCCACGTCACACTGCACAGTTCCGTTGCCATATACCTGTCTTATTCGGGCATATGTGTTAGGAAGCGAACATGCTGCACAAGACACAAGTTGCAAACAGAAAACCCGAAAACCATTGAGGGCAAAAAAATAGGCAGAACACAAACTCACCAAACAGCAGGATATCACTTAGTGCTAGCTTCTCACTCTTCTCCTTGACAAACACACGCTGTCAGGAGGGATTTGTTCATGAATGACGTGTGCCAAGCAAATGCACACAATATCATTACTGTAAGAGTTGAATCTCTAACGCATCACGGAGTCGTAGCGTTTTAAAGGGAAAGAATCCATCGTTAACTCAAGAAACGTTACGAGTATGTTGTTCCTTCTCTCCTCTGCACTAGAGAAACAGAAGACAGATGGTAGTAGTAGTGGGGTGAATCGCTTCTATTCCAATCCAAGTTGGCAACAGAAACCATCAAAACGAAGGCATAAAGCAACAGCAAATGAAGGTATGCGAGAAACACACAAAATTTCCAAAAAAGAAGAAGAAAAGCAAGAGAAAAAGAGTGAATAAAGTCTCACGCAATGAAAAGCAGGAGATAGAAACCACTAAAAAGCCGCGATCAAATAGACCCCACCCTATTCAACATGGATAAAACACAGTCAGCACGTTTCCATGGCAAATCAAATCAGAGATCTCTTATCAATGGCCATGTATGGGCTGGGGGTGCTGCCGTTGATTGAGGGCGTCTCAATGGCTGACATCATCCAAACATGGTTTGCGGATGATTCTTCCGGAGCAGGCCGATTGCGGGTAGTTCGTGCGTGGTGGGACTCTCTGAGCAGCCTTGGGGAAGCTTACGGGTACCATTTGAATCCAACCAAGTCGATACTTCTTGTGAAGCCAGACAGGTATCATGAGGCGCTTGATCTCTTCGCTGACACAGGCGTTCAGGTGAGGATGGATGGCTGTCATCATCTTGGCGCAGCCCTCGGCACTGCTCCGTTCGTCGAGAAATACCTGGCTGACAGAGAGTGGATTCCTCGGGCAGGTGAACAAGGTGGGTGAGTTTGCTGAGTCGCAGCCACAGGCAGCCTACCATGCTTTGGTCAATAGGCTGCAGAGTAAATGGACGTTTCTTTGCCGGACCGTGGAGGGTGCTACAGAAGCCCTCAAGCCGTTGGAGGAGGCTATTCATCACAAGCTCCTCCCAATGGTGACTGGATACCACCCTAATGAAATGGACAGAAAAATGGTTTCCTGTCCTTGCCGCCATGGTGGCTTGGGAATTGTAGTCCCCACCACTCTAAACCACCAGTACACAACTTCGAAGACCATTACAGCGCCTCTGGTGGAACGCATCTGTTCTCAGGCTCCCCTTGGCGACTCGTTGGACTGTATTCGTTCCGCGAAGCGCAGGTTGTCGGCAGCGAACAGACGTTCTATGAAGAGCAAAGTGCCTGATTTCCTTGCGGCGGCACCGTCGGAACTCTCCTATTCTGGCCAATTGGCCTCCCAGCCGGGAGCGTCCAGTTGGCTGACTTGCCGGCCGATGAAGCGCCACGGATTCGCTCTGACCAAGGGTGAGTTCCGGGATGGCATTGCCCTTCGGTATGGCTGGCCATTGACTGGTCTTCCCAGTAGCTGTGCCTGTGGGGCCAGTTTTGATCTCTGCCACGCATTATCTTGTCCAAAGGGTGGCTTTCCAACATTGCGCCACAATGAGGTACGTGACGTCACCGCCAGCATGCTCCGGAGAGTGGCAAAAAACGTTGCGGTGGAGCCTCATCTTCAGCCGGTCACTGGGGAGCGGTTTCGCCATCGGACGGCAATATCAACTGACCAGGCACGGCTTGACATTGTGGCAGGCGGGGTGTGGGGCGGACGGTTTGAACGCTGCTTTTTTGATGTAAGGGTATTCAACCCATATGCAGCTTCGAACCGGTCGGCCCACACCCAATCTGCCTTCAACAAGCACGAAGCTGAGAGGCGACGCCATTATGCTGAACGAGTACGAGAGGTGGAGATTTCGGGTTTCACTCCACTTGTCCTGGCAACAACTGGTGGTATGGGCCGTGCTGCTACTGCATTCTATCGGCGGCTGGCTGTCTTTATGGAGGAGCGTGGATCAGTTGGGTATCATACCCATATCTCGATTATCCGGAGTCCTTTGCTTTACTGCGTGCTAACATCATGTGTCTGCGGGGGGCTCGCTCACCATTTCCCTGGCATGGGGGGATGGATGACGCCTCTCCAGATGTTCCTGTTGCCGAAGCCCGCCTTGTTGGCAACTAGCTAACACGGGTAACGGATACCGACTGATCAACAGAGACTATCTTAAAAAGGAGTTGTCATTGTGTGCAGATTGTAAAGTTTCATTTTCTATTTAATTACATTTTTTGTTTTGTTTTGCTTTGCAGTTGTTGCCGCGGTCAGGCCAGTGAAATCATGTTCTGTGATTGCCCGTATAAGAGGCTTAAAAAACAAAACGCATACAGCCGCAGAGAGGTGGCTGGTTCATAAGTGGCGATACCTCGTTGGTGCTTTGCTCTGCTTTGGCGGCGCCATGGCGCCTCTCGACGACGCAGTGAATGGTCATCTTCTGCCTCCGCTGTTGGGGCAACCTATGGTGTAGCCCAGAGACCATTCGGAACGTGTCGTGAAGATGTAAGGATACTGATGTCAGTCTGTCTAATTCGTCCTGCAATAGATGAGGGGAACATCATGCTCCATAAATTCATGCTCCATGTCTCGTGATTCAATCATTTTTATCCGCTTTCATAATTATAACCTTCTGCATGATTTTAACCATTTTATGCATACATTTTCATTCACTCTTCATCATTTTGTCGGAACTAGGTCTCCGGACCTGGTGAGAAGGCAGAAATGCCTGTTCACTTGGTGAAATAAAATAAAATAAACAAACAAACAAACATATTCGATGTGCACGATATACTAGCGCTTTCACAAGATGCCTCTTCAATTCCGTTTGAGTATATCTTGTAAAAAAATTAAGAAAAACTTGCCCTGGGATTGCACCATTCAACAGCGTGCAAGGCTGAAGAATTGACCGCCACTATTCAGCCTGGTCTACACCACACAGCTATGAAGTGGATTTCTGGTCAGTGAATCCCTACTTGTTGGTCTTTGTCTTTCATTTTGTTTCCCGCACACACATCACACCACATACTCCGACATGCACTGGCTGTTGGTAACCACCCAGGAGAATGAAAGAAATGTCAGGAGTCTGAGAAAGAGAGGAAAGACGTATGTGACCATAATCGTCGGGAATCAAACCCGCAACCTCTCGATTGGAAATCGCTGCACATACCACTGCACCATATGGGACACACACACACACACAATCCTTGCAACAGCGGATGGAGATGGAGCAAGCAGTTACACACTGCCGAGGCCTGCTTACTCTAGGTTGGTGATAACTCATGTCTTGGCACAATGCTTGTAGTTTGCGTGTTGGAGCACTTAACTGTACATGATTGATTGGTCCAGGGTATTCTCCAGCATCGGCAGTATCGGTCAGTTTAGCCTGCCGATGCTGGCCCATGCGTCATGCAACTCTAAGCAGTGACGCAGTGGCAAGGTTCACAGTAATAACCCAAGGGATATGTCACCACTCTGCCTTCAGACAGTCCAGTGTTGACAACCATCCCAACCATCACACCTACATTGGATCAATGAACTGCGATCCGTAGCAAGGCAGACTTGACAGCAGGCAAATAATACAGGATTATAATTATAATAAAGAATTACAACTCACAAGTTTCGCAGGCAACACGAATCGGTCTGGTGCCAGCGTGGGTCTGTCGATCGCTTGCATATGGATTGACATCGTCTGGCCGCCTGAAAAGCCAGACAACTTGACTGGTTAATTTCTCTATACACGTGTTTTTGAATGTGAGGTGACTGGCTATATCTCTTCCCGCAGTCCGTCTGCAGAGGCTCTCCCCGACGTTGTAGGACAAAGGAATGCTATAAAGCTGCAGTATTGACTTTGTAGCACCACAATAGTGGTACTCCGTAAATTGACCATCGGCTGTAGTTGAGTAACACACACACACACACACACACACACACACACACACACACACACACACACACACCACACACGCAAGCATGCACACACACACGCAAGCACGCACACACACACACGTACACACACACGCACACACACACACACACACACACACACACACGCACACGCAAGCACGCACACACACACACACACACACGCACACGCACACACACGCAAGCACGTACACACACACACACGTACACACACACACGTACACACACACGTACACACACACACACACACACACACACACAAGCACGCACACACACGCACACACACACACGCGCACACACACACACACACACACACGCACACACACACACGTACACACACACACACACACAATAGTGAATGTAAACAAGCAAAACAGCCAACCCAAGCAAGCGTAATGCCCGAAACAAAGGAGTTTTTGGTGCGGCCTTTAATATTCGTCTTTCATGTTTTGAGCTCTTCCCCAGTTTCGTATTGCATTCATTTTGTGAATTTCGCTGCTTGTGGCTGACGAGTGCATTCAAAGTTTTCATTTCCAATCTACTCATTTTTTCGTATTGGAATTGTCAAATTTGCCTAATGCATGGCACCGCCCACTGAGTTTGTTACACTGTATCTCCATTCATAATACTTGAATAACTTACGCACACACAGAGACCCACACAGATTCATACAGATTCATAAAAAAACACGCACAGACGCACGACCACATGACCAGCAATAGAATCCCAAGCCTATCAAGGCTAACGAGGCAGTTCGAAGGTTCTAGAAGCTGCTCTGCATCTGTTCTATGTGAACAGAAGTAAACATGTCGTATATCAAAATTTGCTTTCGCAAAGTCTGAAAGTCACTCGCACTACTATGTAAAAGCCCACATATAGGCTCCGGGCGTATAGAATAGCAGCCTTGATTTCCTGGGCGTATACAAGGGCACGGGCGTTATTTTGGAACCGGGCGTATACTTGGAATAGGGATAGCAGTAAGTATTGAGTATCAGTACCTGTACGTGTACTGGTGTTTCCGGCATACCTGGGCGTATACATGGGCATGGGCGCTATTTTGAAACAAAAGTGTCGACTTCCCCTGACTAGGCGTGTACACGGAATGTGGGCGGCATTTCGAGTGGGCGTAACGTTATACAGGGGCTTTCACGGTAGATGTAGATGTAGAGTGTGCAACGTTGGATTCACCCGTTCCACCCTATGCATCCTCTGTTGGATTCACCCGTTCCACCCTATGCATGCTACGTTGGATTCACCCGTTCCACCCTATGCATGCTACATTGGATTCACCCGTTCCACCCTATGCATAGGTACTGCATAATCTCCACACACCTCTATCCGCTTGTGCACTTTCATTTCTCTCGGGTTTCTTTTCCTTTTCCTTTTTTTTTCTTTTTTTCACGTGGACAATCAACCATCACATGTAGCAGAGCTCAATAGAGACAGAAGCGGAAGGGTTAGCACTGCATTGCTGCCCTGTACGCGAATTGTTCTATCAGGATAATTACTGATAGCACACTTGTGGCGCTCAGTTTTGACATTTGAACTTCGGACTGTCTGTGTTTTCATCTGAGACACGAATACATGAATAACTTACGCACGCACAGACCCGCACTTGACGTCCAGCTCCCGTCATCTTGACAACTGATCTGTGCTGGTAGTGACAAGCTCTTCATCCAGTTTGAGTTACACGTCACCATGACAACCGCCCCGGCTATTGTGCTCGAAGACGAGAGGACTGTACCGCCCTCTACACTAGCCATACCGCAATCTCCTGAACAACAAAATTAATAGCAACAAACAAAGAAACAAACAAACAATGAGAGGACGGAAAAAGTGTATTTCTTGCATTTATTCAACGAATAACAACAAATAGAAGAAAGGAGAAAACAGAACGGGTAGGTCAAACATATTGTAGCCCCTTGTGGTCTTGTCTGGTCCGGGAAAGAAAGAATCTACCAATACTAAAAGCGATCATGCTGATAAACAAGCATAGCAAAGGGTTCTAAGTTAGCTCTCTCACCACACGTTTCATACTCTGATCCATTGCGTGGGGATGCAACTACAATAGATGGTTGGATATGACAGTAGTGCTGCGAATGGCAAACGGCAAATGGCCTTCAACGTCTGTTCTCACAACACCACGTGCGACTCTGACTCGCGCTGCTGTCTGGTGCTCACGAGGTGTTTGTCGCGCTGGAAACGGAGCGTCCCTGAAAGTTGGTATCCATGGTGATGTATTGGCTCGGGGAGCGTGACTACAGAATGCAGTGCCTACTCAAGCTCAACTGATAAGGGGGGGGGGGGATTCCCCGAAACACTGTGTATTGAGCGGGGAATGGTGCTTTCTTGCAGTACATTGAGTGTGGGTGAGTGAAGCATTGACTTACGCACACACAGGCCTACACTTGATGTCCAAAGACCATTATCTTGGCAAGTGATCATGGAGGGCGCAGCAGAACTCTTTGCCCAATTCGTATCGCAAGACACTGTTGCAGCAGTCCCGGCTATGGTCTTTGATGATACTGGAATTGTGCCACCGGTTATGTTTGGCTGTCCACAATCACCTGAGCAGGACAAAAATAGGAAGAAATTCAAAAGATTTAAAAATAGAGACTTAGGTTACGTTTGGTTGGTCACATTCCCAAATGGGAATCACTTGGAATCACTCGGAATCATTCTCGCCCGTTTGGTTGGTCAAAAAAGTGCGTTAGGTTGGTCACATTCCACATGATTCCAGAATGGGAATCGCTGAAAATGATTCTTTTTGGAGAATGATCATTCCACCTCACATGCTGGAATGAGCATTCTCATTCCGGAATCAAAAATGGTAATGGCTGCCATGAGCCAAACAATGTAGCAACAGGTTTTAGTGCCTCAAATCATGCACTCAGAAATACCATGACTCTCTCAAGGAAACTAGAGTCGGGTAAAAGAAAAGACAGCCGCCGTTCCACAACGACATCATGGAATTGTTATGTTAAGTGATTCCTAATTGATTCTGGCGCGTTAGTTTGGTCAGGTGATTCTTGTCGATTCCCATTCCAGAATGGTTGTCATTTACATTCTGAAAATGCCCAACCAAACGCAACCTTAGTCGGAGGCAAACTTATTAACACACGAAGAGACGAAGCTAGTTGAAAATCTGATGAGGCCTTTCGTACCATTACTCTTCAAAATCAGTACATGGTGATAATGTGACGAAGCACAACGATGTCAATTTATACAGCATATTGAAGGGAAGATTGTGATGAAAAATACCGTATTATCTCTAATATAAGCACAATCTCCAATAATAGCACGTCTCCAATAATAGAACACCTTGGGGCGGCATTCAAAAAATAGAGTGCTCAGTCTCCATTATAAGGACACTGTGTAAATTCATTATCTGTACCGGCAAAAGAAAACCTGATATGTGTGTGTCTGACATGAATTTGGCATGGCAACATGCCTCTGAAATGAGGTTGAAATAATAATGGAACAGTCTCCAATTAAGGAACGTCTCCATTAATAGCACGGGACGGAGGTACATTGAAAAAATAAAGGACCGTGCTTATATTAGAGATAATACGGTACGCAGGCTGGATGATGGTGCAAGATCTACAACTGGCTTCGTTGGTGGTCATACTGTGCAATCTTAGCTCTCCCACAACCACTGTACTAATAGTAAGTCTGGAAAAAATTCTTCTGGAAAGTGGTTTTCTCCAGAACGCTGCAGTATAGCAATGAAAAGAATTGACTCTGACTAAAGCAAAGTGCCTTTTCCATTTCGAAGGAAACTGCCAACGAAACAAAACGCTTCATTACCAGCTTTTATTTTATTTTTTTTTATTTTTTTACTACGAAGTCCACTATGCTCGGACATGAAAGCTACGATGAAAAAAACGACCTAGGGATGATCTAGTGACGTGGCTTGATGCAGGCGGTGGCGTGCGCAATGATAAACTGTACAAGCAGAAAATCTCGTCGGTCAATAATTTTGTCCAACTCCAAAGAAAGGGAGTTCGTCCAGATGTCAATTTCGTCCGTGGATCATAACAGCATTGAAAAGCTGGACAAATCGAAATTAGTCCGGCATGTAATTTAGTCCAAAAGCTCCTGGGACGAAAAAGACGAAATTAAATCCCAGACGAATAATTCCGCTTATACAGTAGTCAAGACTTCCTGCCTGTTGCCGGGCCTGTCAAAGTACATGGCGCCCCTGTGCTCCTCGTCCCCGCTTCCTATGGCCACAGTGAAGCATTTCTCAGCTTAAACAGTACAGTGAGTGTGAACGGTGAGTGAAGTATTGACTTACGCACACACAGGCCTGCACTTGATGTCCAAGTCCCGTCATCTTGGCAAGTGATCGTGAACGGGGAGGGCGCAGAAGAACTCTTTGCCCAATTCGTATCGCAAGACACTGTTGCAGCAGTCCCGGCTATGGTCTTTGATGATACTGGAATTGTGCCACCAGTTATGCTTGGCTGTCCACAATCACCTGAGCAGGGCAAGAATAGGAAGAAATTTAAAAGATTTAAAAATAGAGACTTAGTCGGAGGGAAACATATTAGCACACGAAGAGATGAAGCCAGTTGTAAAACTGATGAGGCCTTTCGTACCATAACTCTCACATCAGTACATGGTGATAAAGGGCCGTCCAAGGTTACCAATCATATTTTCAAAACGAAATGTTTTCGTTTGTGGGTGGGTGGGTTTGATGGAGTTTCGTTTTGAAAATAATTATTGAATGCTGATGGAGAATGCCCAGTTAGGGCCTGGTCAGACTGCGGCAAATTTTGGTTGCCTGACGAAAAAAGAACAGCGTCCAGAATTTGAATCGCGATCACACTACACATGTGGGGAGAGTGAAAATTCAAACTTCATTTCGAGCGTCAAGTGGTAATCTCCACGAACGACGTCAAATTCCTTCACCTTGGGGATCGCCAACACCTTCAGTGCAATCCTTGCAACCATCCTTATGAGTTTTGTTGTTGTCTGTGGCCAATTAGCTCCTCGATATCAAGATGAAAAAATCAGTGATTATCAGCGTCAATGGCGTATCAGCGTCAAATCCTGTTTGGAGCGGAAAAGCGTGGTCCGTTCTTGCTTTTTTTTTGGAGCGTCAACTCTCGCTTTTGCCGCTCTGGCGGCAAGTTACTATGGAGATTCGGATTATAATCCTAGGATTATTTCGATTTTGCCGCAGTCTGACCAGGCCCTAACTTCTGGGTGTCGAAAATTGACATCAATATTTTACTGGAATTCGTTTTACCTGCAGAAAAGGTGAGTGGGTGGGCGGGGCCTGAAAAAAACTAAAACTTTTCGTTTTGTAAAAACAATCGGTAACCGCGGACGGCCCCTAATGTGACAAAGCACGACGATGTCAATTTATACAGCATATTGAAGGGAAGATTGTGATGAAACATACCGTATTATCTCTAATATAAGCACAATCTCCAATAATAGCACGTCTCCAATAATAGAACACCTTGGGGCGGCATTCAAAAAATAAAGTGCTCAGTCTCCATTATAAGGACACTGTGTAAATTCATTATCTGTACCGGCAAAAAAAACCTAATATGTGTGCGTCTGACATGAATTTGGCATGGCAACATGCCTCTGAAATGAGGTTGAAATAATAATGGAACAGTCTCCAATAAAGGAACGTCTCCATTAATAGCACGGGACGGAGGTAAATTGAAAAAATAAAGGACCATGCTTATATTAGAGATAATACGGTACGCAGGCTGGATGATGGTGCAAGATCTACAACTGGCTTCGTTGGTGGTCATACTGTGCAATCTTAGCTCTCCCACAACCACTGTACTAATAGTAAGTCTGGAAAAATTTCTTCTGGAAAGTGGTTTTCTGCAGAATGCTGCAGTATAGCAATGAAAAGAATTGACTCTGACTAAAGCAAAGTGCCTTTTCCATTTCGAAGGAAACTGCCAACGAAACAAAACGCTTCATTACCAGCTTTTATTTTATTTTTTTATTTTTTTTCTACGAAGTCCACTATGCTCGGGCATGAAAGCTACGATGAAAAAAACGACCAAGGGATGATCTAGTGACGTGGCTTGATGCAGGCGGTGGCGTGCGCAATGATAAACTGTACAAGCAGAAAATCTCGTCGGTCAATAATTTTGTCCAACTCCAAAGAAAGGGAGTTCGTCCAGATGTCAATTTCGTCCGTGGATCATAAGAGCATTGAAAAGCTGGACAAATCGAAATTAGTCCGGCATGTAATTTAGTCCAAAAGCTCCTGGGACGAAAAAGACGAAATTAAATCGCAGACGAATAATTCCGCTTATACAGTAGTCAAGACTTCCTGCCTGTTGCCGGGCCTGTCAAAGTACATGGCGCCCCTGTGCTCCTCGTCCCCGCTTCCTATGGCCACAGTGAAGCATTTCTCAGCTTAAACAGTACATTGAGTGTGAACGGTGAGTGAAGTATTGACTTACGCACACACAGGCCTGCACTTGATGTCCAAGTCCCGTCATCTTGGCAAGTGATCGTGGACGGGGAGGGCGCAGAAGAACTCTTTGCCCATTTACTAATACATCCCACAGTGCCGACATCACCAGCTAGGGTACTCGTGGTTGATACAATGGTGCCGAAGACTGGGGTTGGAAGTCCACAATCACCTGAACAGGGCAAGAGTGGAAAGAAAGTCTCATGGCTACACACTGTAGCCATTACACACACAAATAATTCGAAGCAACGAAGTGGTTACGGCTACTTCAAGTATCAGGGAGGTTTAGTCCCCGTAACGGATACGGGACCGTGGGTGATACACGTAAAGTTCATGCAACGGACCCACGTTCGCAATGGTTTTTTTTTTAATCACATGGAACCAACAAAAGCATGAAGCGAACGGCCCAAACTTGGTCAAAGACGAAGCTCTGAAGGTCATTGAATATTTCGATGTCGTCCAATTTGGTCCAAAAGCTCCTGGGACGAAAAAGACGAAATTAAATCCCAGACGAATAATTCCGCTTATACAGTAGTCAAGACTTCCTGCCTGTTGCCGGGCCTGTCACAGACATAGCGCCCCTGTGCTCCTCGTCCCCGCTTCCTATGGCCACAGTGAAGCATTTCTCAGCTTAAACAGTACAGTGAGTGTGAACGGTGAGTGAAGCATTGACTTACGCACACACAGGCCTGCACTTGATGTCCAAGTCCCGTCATCTTGGCAAGTGATCATCGAGGGCGCAGCAGAACTCTTTGCCCAATTCGTATCGCAAGACACTGTTGCAGCAGTCCCGGCTATGGTCTTTGATGATACTGGAATTGTGCCACCAGTTATGCTTGGCTGTCCACAATCACCTGAGCAGGGCAAGAATAGGAAGAAATTCAAAAGATTTAAAAATAGAGACTTATTCGGAGGGAAACATATTAGCACACGAAGAGATGACGCCAGTTGTAAAACTGATGAGGCCTTTCGTACCATTACTTCTCACATCAGTACATGGTGATAATGTGACAGAGCACGACGATGTCAATTTATACAGCATATTGAAGGGAAGATTGTGATGAAACATACCGTATTATCTCTAATATAAGCACAATCTATAATATTAGCACGTCTCCAATAATAGAACACCTTGGGGCGGCATTCAAAAAATAAAGTGCTCAGTCTCCATTAAAAGGACACTGCGTAAATTCATTATCTGTACCGGCAAAAGAAAACCTGATATGTGTGTGTCTGACATGAATTTGGCATGGCAACATGCCTCTGAAATGAGGTTGAAATAATAATGGAACAGTCTCCAATAAAGGAACGTCTCCATTAATACCACGGGACAGAGGTACATTGAAAAAATAAAGGACCATGCTTATATTAGAGATAATACGGTACACAGGCTGGATGATGGTGCAAGATCTACAACTGGCTTCGTTGGTGGTCATACTGTGCAATCTTAGCTCTCCCACAACCACTGTACTAATAGTAAGTCTGGAAAAATTTCTTCTGGAAAGTGGTTTTCTCCAGAACGCTGCAGTATAGCAATGAAAAGAATTGACTCTGAGGCTGTGTTTACATGAGAAATTTCAACCTGGGTCGAGTTCAGCCCGGGTTGAAAGTCTGTACGATAGACAAAAGAGGTGAGCGTTTACATGAAGACAGTTGACCCGGGTCAAATACTGATATGCCGCCAAAAGTCCACTTCTACAGTCCTGTATGGTCACGTGAATCCGTTCGCGCGAAATTTGCATCTGCAGTGCCGTTCAAACCTGACGAGAGATACGCACAGAAGTACGTTTGTACGATTTTCTTGACCCGGGTTGATTTCAACCCGGGGCGAAATTTCAACCCGGGTCAAGCGCAATGCGTCATGTAAACGCGCCATTCATTTTGTGCATATGGCGGGTTGAAATCTGACCCGGGTCGAACTCAACCCGGGTTGAAACGCTTCTTGTAAACACAGGCTGACTAAAGCAAAGTGCCTTTTCCATTTCGAAGGAAACTGCCAACGAAACAAAACGCTTCATTACCAGCTTTTATTTTATTTTTTTTTATTTTTTTACTACGAAGTCCACTATGCTCGGACATGAAAGCTACGATGAAAAAAACGACCTAGGGATGATCTAGTGACGTGGCTTGATGCAGGCGGTGGCGTGCGCAATGATAAACTGTACAAGCAGAAAATCTCGTCGGTCAATAATTTTGTCCAACTCCAAAGAAAGGGAGTTCGTCCAGATGTCAATTTCGTCCGTGGATCATAAGAGCATTGAAAAGCTGGACAAATCGAAATTAGTCCGGCATGTAATTTAGTCCAAAAGCTCCTGGGACGAAAAAGACGAAATTAAATCGCAGACGAATAATTCCGCTTATACAGTAGTCAAGACTTCCTGCCTGTTGCCGGGCCTGTCAAAGTACATGGCGCCCCTGTGCTCCTCGTCCCCGCTTCCTATGGCCACAGTGAAGCATTTCTCAGCTTAAACAGTACATTGAGTGTGAACGGTGAGTGAAGTATTGACTTACGCACACACAGGCCTGCACTTGATGTCCAAGTCCCGTCATCTTGGCAAGTGATCGTGGACGGGGAGGGCGCAGAAGGACTCTTTGCCCATTTACTAATACATCCCACAGTGCCGACAGCACCAGCTAGGGTACTCGTGGTTAATGCAATGGTGCCGGAGACTGGGGTTGGAAGTCCACAATCACCTGAACAGGGCAAGAGTGGAAAGAAAGTCTCATGGCTACACACAGTAGCCATTACACACACAAATAATTCGAATCAACGAAGTGGTTACGGCTACTTCAAGTATCAGGGAGGTTTAGTCCCCGTAACGGATACGGGACCGTGGGTGATACACGTAAAGTTCATGCAACGGACCCACGTTCGCAATGGTTTTTTTTTTAATCACATGGAACCAACAAAAGCATGAAGCGAACGGCCCAAACTTGGTCAAAGACGAAGCTCTGAAGGTCATTGAATATTTCGATGTCGTCCAATTTGGTCCAAAAGCTCCTGGGACGAAAAAGACGAAATTAAATCCCAGACGAATAATTCCGCTTATACAGTAGTCAAGACTTCCTGCCTGTTGCCGGGCCTGTCACAGACATGGCGCCCCTGTGCTCCTCGTCCCCGCTTCCTATGGCCACAGTGAAGCATTTCTCAGCTTAAACAGTACAGTGAGTGTGAACGGTGAGTGAAGCATTGACTTACGCACACACAGGCCTGCACTTGATGTCCAAGTCCCGTCATCTTGGCAAGTGATCATCGAGGGCGCAGCAGAACTCTTTGCCCAATTCGTATCGCAAGACACTGTTGCAGCAGTCCCGGCTATGGTCTTTGATGATACTGGAATTGTGCCACCAGTTATGCTTGGCTGTCCACAATCACCTGAGCAGGACAAGAATAGGAAGAAATTCAAAAGATTTAAAAATAGAGACTTAGGCGGAGGGAAACATATTAGCACACGAAGAGATGACGCCAGTTGTAAAACTGATGAGGCCTTTTGTACCATTACTTCACATCAGTACATGGTGATAATGTGACAAAGCACGACAATGTCAATTTATACAGCATATTGAAGGGAAGCAGATTGCACAGCATCCAGAAGCGACAGATTAATGCATTGTAAGTCTTTCTTGACAACGTCAATCCATCTCAGACGTGGTCGTCCTCGGGGTCGTCGTATGTCTGTTGTGTTGATTGACATTAGGAGGGCTTGGAAAGAAGACGATTCTTCGCCTTCCCTCACTACATGGCCGAACCACAGCAGTCTCCGTTGCCTGCAGACTTGTCGCTTCTGGATGCTGTGCAATCTGCTTCTGATAGAGCTGCTTGGCTCGAAATTGTTAACAGAGGCGTTGACCTCATGCAATGAGTGAGATGCGAACTGTCGTTATTATTATTATTATTATTATTATTATTCAAAGGATCAGTCGGGGAAGTGAACTGCCTGAAAAGAGAAAAAAACGCCAGACCCACCAGGACTCGAACCTGGGACCCTGCTTGTCATGAGCAATGCTCTAACCACTGAGCTATGGGACCAGGCTGAACCTAGAAGGCGCTGACAAGTTTTTCACTCCAAAGGCAGCTCACAACACGTGCCACACATACTGATGGCACTTGGGTCTTTTTTCCCTCCCCCAGGGGACCAACCACGGTCAGTTTCTGGAAACTACCAGAGGTGAAAGAAAGTGATTAAATTTGGAAAGGATTGGGAGAACTTCAAATTCAAAGGATCAGTCGGGGAAGTGAACTGCCTGAAAAGAGAAAAAAAACGCCAGACCCACCAGGACTCGAACCTGGGACCCTGCTTGTCATGAGCAATGCTCTAACCACTGAGCTATGGGACCAGGCTGAACCTAGAAGGCGCTGACAAGTTTTTCACTCCAAAGGCAGCTCACAACACGTGCCACACATACTGATGGCACTTGGGTCTTTTTGACAAGCAGGGTCCCAGGTTCGAGTCCTGGTGGGTCTGGCGTTTTTTTTCTCTTTTCAGGCAGTTCACTTCCCCGACTGATCCTTTGAAATTGAAGTTCTCCCAATCCTTTCCAAATTATTATTATTATTATTATTATTGAAGGGAAGATTGTGATGAAACATACCGTATTATCTCTAATATAAGCACAATCTCCAATAATAGCACGTCTCCAATAATAGAACACCTTGGGGCGGCATTCAAAAAATAAAGTGCTCAGTCTCCATTATAAGGACACTGTGTAAATTCATTATCTGTACCGGCAAAAAAAACCTGATATGTGTGCGTCTGACATGAATTTGGCATGGCAACATGCCTCTGAAATGAGGTTGAAATAATAATGGAACAGTCTCCAATAAAGGAACGTCTCCATTAATAGCACGGGACGGAGGTACATTGAAAAAATAAAGGACCGTGCTTATATTAGAGATAATACGGTACGCAGGCTGGATGATGGTGCAAGATCTACAACTGGCTTCGTTGGTGGTCATACTGTGCAATCTTAGCTCTCCCACAACCACTGTACTAATAGTAAGTCTGGAAAAATTTCTTCTGGAAAGTGGTTTTCTCCAGAACGCTGCAGTATAGCAATGAAAAGAATTGACTCTGACTAAAGCAAAGTGCCTTTTCCATTTCGAAGGAAACTGCCAACGAAACAAAACGCTTCACTACCAGCTTTTATTTTATTTATTTTTTATTTTTTACTACGAAGTCCACTATGCTCGGGCATGAAAGCTACGATGAAAAAAACGACCAAGGGATGATCTAGTGACGTGGCTTGATGCAGGCGGTGGCGTGCGCAATGATAAACTGTACAAGCAGAAAATCTCGTCGGTCAATAATTTTGTCCAACTCCAAAGAAAGGGAGTTCGTCCAGATGTCAATTTCGTCCGTGGATCATAAGAGCATTGAAAAGCTAGACAAATCGAAATTAGTCCGGCATGTAATTTAGTCCAAAAGCTCCTGGGACGAAAAAGACGAAATTAAATCCCAGACGAATAATTCCGCTTATACAGTAGTCAAGACTTCCTGCCTGTTGCCGGGCCTGTCAAAGTACATGGCGCCCCTGTGCTCCTCGTCCCCGCTTCCTATGGCCACAGTGAAGCATTTCTCAGCTTAAACAGTACAGTGAGTGTGAACGGTGAGTGAAGTATTGACTTACGCACACACAGGCCTGCACTTGACGTCCAAGTCCCGTCATCTTGGCAAGTGATCGTGGACGGGGAGGGCGCAGAAGAACTCTTTGCCCAATTCGTATCGCAAGACACTGTTGCAGCAGTCCCGGCTATGGTCTTTGATGATACTGGAATTGTGCCACCAGTTATGCTTGGCTGTCCACAATCACCTGAGCAGGACAAGAATAGGAAGAAATTCAAAAGATTTAAAAATAGAGACTTAGGCGGAGGGAAACATATTAGCACACGAAGAGATGACGCCAGTTGTAAAACTGATGAGGCCTTTTGTACCATTACTTCACTTCAGTACATGGTGATAATGTGACAAAGCACGACAATGTCAATTTATACAGCATATTGAAGGGAAGCAGATTGCACAGCATCCAGAAGCGACAGATTAATGCATTGTAAGTCTTTCTTGACAACGTCAATCCATCTCAGACGTGGTCGTCCTCGTGGTCGTCGTATGTCTGTTGTGTTGATTGACATTAGGAGGGCTTGGAAAGAGGACGATTCTTCGCCTTCCTTCACTACATGGCCGAACCACAGCAGTCTCCGTTGCCTGCAGACTTGTCGCTTCTGGATGCTGTGCAATCTGCTTCTGATAGAGCTGCTTGGCTCGAAATTGTTAACAGATGCGTTGACCTCATGCAATGAGTGAGATGCGAACTGTCGTTATTATTATTATTATGTTTTATTATTGAAGGGAAGATTGTGATGAAACATACCGTATTATCTCTAATATAAGCACAATCTCCAATAATAGCACGTCTCCAATAATAGAACACCTTGGGGCGGAATTCAAAAATAAAGTGCTCAGTCTCCATTATAAGGACACTGTGTAAATTCATTATCTGTACCGGCAAAAGAAAACCTGATATGTGTGTGTCTGACATGAATTTGGCATGGCAACATGCCTCTGAAATGAGGTTGAAATAATAATGGAACAGTCTCGAATAAAGGAACGTCTCCATTAATAGCACGGGACGGAGGTACATTGAAAAAATAAAGGACCGTGCTTATATTAGAGATGATACGGTACACAGGCTGGATGATGGTGCAAGATCTACAACTGGCTTCGTTGGTGGTCATACTGTGCAATCTTAGCTCTCCCACAACCACTGTACTAATAGTAAGTCTGGAAAAATTTCTTCTGGAAAGTGGTTTTCTCCAGAACGCTGCAGTATAGCAATGAAAAGAATTGACTCTGACTAAAGCAAAGTGCCTTTTCCATTTCGAAGGAAACTGCCAACGAAACAAAACGCTTCATTACCAGCTTTTATTTCATTTATTTTTATTTTTTTACTACTAAGTCCACTATGCTCGGGCATGAAAGCTACGATGAAAAAAACGACCAAGGGATGATCTAGTGACGTGGCTTGATGCAGGCGGTGGCGTGCGCAATGATAAACTGTACAAGCAGAAAATCTCGTCGGTCAATAATTTTGTCCAACTCCAAAGAAAGGGAGTTCGTCCAGATGTCAATTTCGTCCGTGGATCATAACAGCATTGAAAAGCTGGACAAATCGAAATTAGTCCGGCATGTAATTTAGTCCAAAAGCTCCTGGGACGAAAAAGACGAAATTAAATCCCAGACGAATAATTCCGCTTATACAGTAGTCAAGACTTCCTGCCTGTTGCCGGGCCTGTCAAAGTACATGGCGCCCCTGTGCTCCTCGTCCCCGCTTCCTATGGCCACAGTGAAGCATTTCTCAGCTTAAACAGTACAGTGAGTGTGAACGGTGAGTGAAGTATTGACTTACGCACACACAGGCCTGCACTTGATGTCCAAGTCCCGTCATCTTGGCAAGTGATCGTGAACGGGGAGGGCGCAGAAGAACTCTTTGCCCAATTCGTATCGCAAGACACTGTTGCAGCAGTCCCGGCTATGGTCTTTGATGATACTGGAATTGTGCCACCAGTTATGCTTGGCTGTCCACAATCACCTGAGCAGGGCAAGAATAGGAAGAAATTTAAAAGATTTAAAAATAGAGACTTAGTCGGAGGGAAACATATTAGCACACGAAGAGATGAAGCCAGTTGTAAAACTGATGAGGCCTTTCGTACCATAACTCTCACATCAGTACATGGTGATAAAGGGCCGTCCAAGGTTACCAATCATATTTTCAAAACGAAATGTTTTCGTTTGTGGGTGGGTGGGTTTGATGGAGTTTCGTTTTGAAAATAATTATTGAATGCTGATGGAGAATGCCCAGTTAGGGCCTGGTCAGACTGCGGCAAATTTTGGTTGCCTGACGAAAAAAGAACAGCGTCCAGAATTTGAATCGCGATCACACTACACATGTGGGGAGAGTGAAAATTCAAACTTCATTTCGAGCGTCAAGTGGTAATCTCCACGAACGACGTCAAATTCCTTCACCTTGGGGATCGCCAACACCTTCAGTGCAATCCTTGCAACCATCCTTATGAGTTTTGTTGTTGTCTGTGGCCAATTAGCTCCTCGATATCAAGATGAAAAAATCAGTGATTATCAGCGTCAATGGCGTATCAGCGTCAAATCCTGTTTGGAGCGGAAAAGCGTGGTCCGTTCTTGCTTTTTTTTTTGGAGCGTCAACTCTCGCTTTTGCCGCTCTGGCGGCAAGTTACTATGGAGATTCGGATTATAATCCTAGGATTATTTCGATTTTGCCGCAGTCTGACCAGGCCCTAACTTCTGGGTGTCGAAAATTGACATCAATATTTTACTGGAATTCGTTTTACCTGCAGAAAAGGTGAGTGGGTGGGCGGGGGCTGAAAAAAACTAAAACTTTTCGTTTTGTAAAAACAATCGGTAACCGCGGACGGCCCCTAATGTGACAAAGCACGACGATGTCAATTTATACAGCATATTGAAGGGAAGATTGTGATGAAACATACCGTATTATCTCTAATATAAGCACAATCTCCAATAATAGCACGTCTCCAATAATAGAACACCTTGGGGCGGCATTCAAAAAATAAAGTGCTCAGTCTCCATTATAAGGACACTGTGTAAATTCATTATCTGTACCGGCAAAAAAAACCTAATATGTGTGCGTCTGACATGAATTTGGCATGGCAACATGCCTCTGAAATGAGGTTGAAATAATAATGGAACAGTCTCCAATAAAGGAACGTCTCCATTAATAGCACGGGACGGAGGTACATTGAAAAAATAAAGGACCGTGCTTATATTAGAGATAATACGGTACGCAGGCTGGATGATGGTGCAAGATCTACAACTGGCTTCGTTGGTGGTCATACTGTGCAATCTTAGCTCTCCCACAACCACTGTACTAATAGTAAGTCTGGAAAAATTTCTTCTGGAAAGTGGTTTTCTGCAGAATGCTGCAGTATAGCAATGAAAAGAATTGACTCTGACTAAAGCAAAGTGCCTTTTCCATTTCGAAGGAAACTGCCAACGAAACAAAACGCTTCATTACCAGCTTTTATTTTATATATTTTTTATTTTTTACTACTAAGTCCACTATGCTCGGACATGAAAGCTACGATGAAAAAAACGACCAAGGGATGATCTAGTGACGTGGCTTGATGCAGGCGGTGGCGTGCGCAATGATAAACTGTACAAGCAGAAAATCTCGTCGGTCAATAATTTTGTCCAACTCCAAAGAAAGGGAGTTCGTCCAGATGTCAATTTCGTCCGTGGATCATAACAGCATTGAAAAGCTGGACAAATCGAAATTAGTCCGGCATGTAATTTAGTCCAAAAGCTCCTGGGACGAAAAAGACGAAATTAAATCCCAGACGAATAATTCCGCTTATACAGTAGTCAAGACTTCCTGCCTGTTGCCGGGCCTGTCAAAGTACATGGCGCCCCTGTGCTCCTCGTCCCCGCTTCCTATGGCCACAGTGAAGCATTTCTCAGCTTAAACAGTACAGTGAGTGTGAACGGTGAGTGAAGTATTGACTTACGCACACACAGGCCTGCACTTGACGTCCAAGTCCCGTCATCTTGGCAAGTGATCGTGGACGGGGAGGGCGCAGAAGAACTCTTTGCCCAATTCGTATCGCAAGACACTGTTGCAGCAGTCCCGGCTATGGTCTTTGATGATACTGGAATTGTGCCACCAGTTATGCTTGGCTGTCCACAATCACCTGAGCAGGACAAGAATAGGAAGAAATTCAAAAGATTTAAAAATAGAGACTTAGTCGGAGGGAAACATATTAGCACACGAAGAGATGACGCCAGTTGTAAAACTGATGAGGCCTTTCGTACCATTACTCTCACATCAGTACATGGTGATAAAGGGCCGTCCAAGGTTACCAATCATATTTTTAAAACGAAATGTTTTCGTTTGTGGGTGGGTGGGTTTGATGGAGTTTCGTTTTGAAAATAATTATTGAATGCTGATGGAGAATGCCCAGTTAGGGCCTGGTCAGACTGCGGCAAATTTTGGTTGCCTGACGAAAAAAGAACAGCGTCCAGAATTTGAATCGCGATCACACTACACATGTGGGGAGAGTGAAAATTCAAACTTCATTTCGAGCGTCAAGTGGTAATCTCCACGAACGACGTCAAATTCCTTCACCTTGGGGATCAGCAACACCTTCAGTGCAATCCTTGCAACCATCCTTATGAGTTTTGTTGTTGTCTGTGGCCAATTAGCTCCTCGATATCGAGATGAAAAAATCAGTGATTATCAGCGTCAATGGCGTATCAGGGTCAAATCCTGTTTGGAGCGGAAAAGCGTGGTCCGTTCTTGCTTTTTTTTTGGAGCGTCAACTCTCGCTTTTGCCGCTCTGGCGGCAAGTTACTATGGAGATTCGGATTATAATCCTAGGATTATTTCGATTTTGCCGCAGTCTGACCAGGCCCTAACTTCTGGGTGTCGAAAATTGACATCAATATTTTCCTGGAATTCGTTTTACCTGCAAAAAAGGTGAGTGGGTGGGCGGGGGCTGAAAAAAACTAAAACCTTTCGTTTTGTAAAAACAATCGGTAACCCCGGACGGCCCCTAATGTGACAAAGCACGACGATGTCAATTTATACAGCATATTGAAGGGAAGATTGTGATGAAACATATCTCTAATATAAGCACAATCTCCAATAATAGCACGTCTCTAATAATAGAACACCTTGGGGCGGCATTCAAAAAATAAAGTGCTCAGTCTCCATTATAAGGACACTGTGTAAATTCATTATCTGTACCGGCAAAAAAACCCTGATATGTGTGCGTCTGACATGAATTTGGCATGGCAACATGCCTCTGAAATGAGGTTGAAATAATAATGGAACAGTCTCCAATAAAGGAACGTCTCCATTAATAGCACGGGACGGAGGTACATTGAAAAAATAAAGGACCGTGCTTATATTAGAGATCATACGGTACGCAGGCTGGATGATGGTGCAAGATCTACAACTGGCTTCGTTGGTGGTCATACTGTGCAATCTTAGCTCTCCCACAACCACTGTCCTAAAAGTAAGTCTGGAAAAATTTCTTCTGGAAAGTGGTTTTCTGCAGAACGCTGCAGTGTAGCAATGAAAAGAATTGACTCTGACTAAAGCAAAGTGCCTTTTCCATTTCGAAGGAAACTGCCAACGAAACAAAACGCTTCATTACCAGCTTTCATTTTATTTATTTTTATTTTTTTACTACGAAGTCCACTATGCTCGGACATGAAAGCTACGATGAAAAAAACGACCAAGGGATGATCTAGTGACGTGGCTTGATGCAGGCGGTGGCGTGCGCAATGATAAACTGTACAAGCAGAAAATCTCGTCGGTCAATAATTTTGTCCAACTCCAAAGAAAGGGAGCTCGTCCAGATGTCAATTTCGTCCGTGGATCATAAGAGCATTGAAAAGCTGGACAAATCGAAATTAGTCCGGCATGTAATTTAGTCCAAAAGCTCCTGGGACGAAAAAGACGAAGTTAAATCCCAGACGAATAATTCCGCTTATACAGTAGTCAAGACTTCCTGCCTGTTGCCGGGCCTGTCAAAGTACATGGCGCCCCTGTGCTCCTCGTCCCCGCTTCCTATGGCCACAGTGAAGCATTTCTCAGCTTAAACGGTACAGTGAGTGTGAACGGTGAGTGAAGCATTGACTTACGCACACACAGGCCTGCACTTGATGTCCAAGTCCCGTCACCTTGGCAAGTGATCGTGGACGGGGAGGGCGCAGAAGAACTCTTTGCCCATTTACTAATACATCCCACAGTGCCGACAGCACCAGCTAGGGTACTCGTGGTTGATACAATGGTGCCGGAGACTTGGGTTGGAAGTCCACAATCACCTGAACAGGGCAAGAGTGGAAAGAAAGTCTCATGGCTACACACAGTAGCCATTACACACACAGATAATTCGAAGCAACGAAGTGGTTACGGCTACTTCAAGTATCAGGGAGGTTTAGTCCCCCGTAACGGATACGGGACCATGGGTGATACACGTAAAGTTCATGCAACGGACCCACGTTCGCAATGGGTTTTTTTTAATCACATGGAACCAACAAAAGCATGAAGCGAACGGCCCAAACTTGGTCAAAGACGAAGCTCTGAAGGTCATTGAATATTTCGATTTCGTGCTTCGGAAACTTCTTCAGCTGAGCACCCTCACAGCTTGTACAATGCGCTCCATTCTGATTTTCAGGCACGTTCTGGCGGAACGTGGGTGAGCCTCCATACACGGTATGCCGTGAATCAGAAAACGTCTGTACGTGGGTCACTGAGTATCACGTGGTACACACACGTAAAGTACACGCGGATTACGTGGGACTAAACCTCCCTAATTGTTATTAATAATGTTCCTTCTGACAGTTGTTTTGCCTGCTAAAGGCTCGTCAGAGGTGATGCTGAATAGGATACTATAAAACAGGTCATTTTAGGTGCATCAAAATTTCAGTGCCAGGGACCTGCCTGGTTTCAGGTGTTATGTAGAATTAAGTGACTAGCTTTCCCTTCACAGACAGTGCATACTCTAGTGCCATTTAGGTGGAATTTAAATTTAGGTGCCTGGTTTCTCTACTGAAATCACCGAGATTAAAGTTACACCGCAAATCACGTGTGCTACAGTATTGCAATTGAGCATGAGCTGCTTGTCAAGCAATTGGTGGTGTTAGTGGACATCATAGTGTAACTTGTAGCTCCTTGGTCATTTCTTTACTGCAATTGACATGGCAAATAATATTTACACGGTACTATTATGGGCGCAAGAAACCAGGCAACGTGTAGTCATTTACACTTTGCCCCTACTGTCATTAACACCTTTTAGATTTGCGCCATAATAATAGCTATGAAAGGTATGAATGCCGCAGACATCACCACGCAACATGACAAGTTGTTGCCAAGTGGTTGACAAGGTGTTCAAAGTTTGAGATTGTGTGTTTCCAGAATCGATTTTCAAGCTCCGATCATCAGTGGAAATACGGAACTCAAGTGATCAAGGGAAAAACAAAGGTTAAAAATCCAAAGAAGTGTGACACATGACGCGTAAGTATTACAAAACGTGAGGGCTAAGATAAAGAGCAAGTGTGACAAATGGGCATGAACAGTGCAGAAACAACTCATGAACACGGGGTGCAAACTCACGAAAATAACCTAAGTGCAACATGTTCTTTTTCCTTACACAAATCGGGGGGGGGGGGGTGCCGTGCCCGATATGTTCAGCAGTTGAAGGTCCTTGAAGCTGTTTGTATTCGTACGCATAAGCCCGATTCGTGTAAGCGAAAAGAACATGTTGTAGCACTAAAGTTATTTTCGTGAGTTTGCACAAAGGTTAAAAATGCAAAGAAGTGTGACACATGACGCGTAATTATTACAAAAAGTGAGGGCTAAGATAAAGAGTAAGTGTGACAAATGGGCATGAACAGTGCAGAAACAACTCATGATTTTTAACCTTTACTTTCCCTTGATCACTTTAGTTCCGTATTTCCACTGATGATCGGAGCTTGAAAATCGATTCTGGAAACACACAATCTCAAACTTTGAACAAATTGTCATGTTGCGTGGTGATGTCTGCGGCATTCATACTTTTCATAGCTATTATTCCCGTAGCTATGCAGAAGACATTACTTGAGTAACGTCTGGCGCTAGCCAGGGTCCACACGGCTTTAATTTGGTATTTGTGTGTTTGTTTGTTTGTGTGTTTGTGTCACGCCTGGCGCTATCCCGTATCTGTCCCGTACCGTACCGTACCAGCAAAGACAGCTGGCCACAACATTTTTGTTTTTTTGTGCCATCGGCATGCCTGGCGCTATCCTGTACCTGTCCCGTACCATCAAGAGCACGGTACCATCAAAAGAATGAGTATATATGCGAAGTGTATCGGGGGAATGCATTCAGGCCGATAGTGCAGTAACATTTTGTGTGGATTTGTGTGCGAGGCCGAGATCCCACTAGCAGGCTGGCTGGGCCGCCTGTCGACCAGCCCGGGAATCGCATGTAGGCCGATAGCATTATAATTATAACGTATATAGATGTATAGCAGGGAGTCGTATTATGTAAACGACTCCCTGCTGTTTAGAGAGATTTTCTGGAAAGAAATACGAAGTAGGGAGACGAGGAAATGCAATTAGAATGGACGTTAGTTGCCGAATAGGTGACAGGATGCGTTAGCAAAAACATACTTTGGACGAGAGATCCCGTCGTCTCCAAAATAATCCTGAACGGGCGAGTCAGCGCCGGTCACAAGAAACGTCAGAAGAGAGATCCCGTTGACTTCAGAATGTCCTTGATCGGCAGAGTCAGCGCCGGTCACAGGAAACGTCGGAAGAGAGATCCCGTCGACTCCAGAACATTCGTGATCGGCAAAGTCAGCGCCGGTCACAGGAAACGGCAGGACAGACATCCCGTCGACTCCAGAACGCCAGTGATCGGCAGAGTCAGCGCCAGTCACTAGGGGTGTGCGGATAATGCTCGAAAGGTGGCAGATTCTGCTCGAAAAGCAGTGAAATTGGCAGAACCATACCAACCTTATGGCGGGCAATTCCTCGAATTCTGCTCCATTTCTTTATCCACATACGAAACATGCATGAAACTTACCAGAAAAAGTACCGAATTCCGCCAATTTTTCTCCCGGCATTATCCGCATATGCCTAACGGCCACAGGAAACGTCAGGACAGACATCCCGTCGACTCCAGAACGCCCGTGATCGGCAGAAACGAGACAGGTACGGGATAGCGCCGGGCATGCCGATGGCACAAACAAACAAAAATATTGTGGCCATCTGTTGGTGGCCAGCTGTCTTCGATGGTACGCCGGTACGGTACGGTACGGGACAAATACGGGATAGCGCCAGGTGTGACACAAAAAAAAAAAAAAAAAAAAAAAAAAAAAACACCAAATATTCATCCCATAGCTATGCAACAGACGTTACTTCAGTATCGTTTGGCGCTAGCCAGGGTCCACACAGCTTTGACACGTCACATGCATGATGAGCAAGCAAAAAAGCATAGCGTAGAGCCCTGAGCTTCCAAGATCTCTTGTTGAACTTTTATCTCCACGTAGATTATTTAAATAATAATAAATAAATAATAATAACTACAAGTAAGTACCCAGATGGTGAGCCAAGGAAAACATTTAAAAATGAAAACAAGGAAAACGGTGGGACACAAGTTTTGCGTTAGAGTCCACTTAATACACCAGGTAATATCCATGAACCTTCCAAGTTGGAAGGCCGTTGGTTAGCACTACCGAGCAGTGTTCAAGCTCATTTCCTTGCCGTGGAATGTCTCAGTACTCCCTGTCAGTCTGGTGCTACCTTGTGTCACGTCTGACTGTTCAAAACCTGGTGTAGTTGGTGGACTCTAACGCACAATGTGTGCCCCGCCGTTTTCCTTGTTTCCATTTCACTACACGTAAACAAGAAGAATAAATATGAATACGTGAACGCCCTCACGTGAATGGCCGCAGCTCGACAGCACAGCCCATGCAGCACAGCATAGCATGGACGCACCACGACGACTGTCCCCGCGGAGTCCCCTCAGGCGTTCTCTCGAGCAACAGACCTTTTTCCTTTTTTTCTACAAAATCCACATATCTCCAGACACTGGGGTGAACAATGGAGTGTGGTGGTGGGGCCCATTAACCTTTATCATCCCGACCCATCAAGGAATTGCCTTATCATTACGAAATTTTCCACACAAGTGTATATTGGTTTTGTGATGTACGTGTCAAAATATGTTTTAATTCGGACCAAGGATAGCTGGGTTAGAGGTATGTTCCCATATGGGAACAACGGGAGCACGGGCGCATAAAAATACCTAATTTGGACGATACTATTGCGAGTGATGAGATTCACCCAAATGACTATGGAAACCAAATTAATTGGTGAGAGACACATTTTCCAGTGTTGGACGACGTCCCTTGTGCCAAAGTAGCCAAAAGCAATTGATAAAGAAGACGCAGGTCAAAATTAATTATTCAACGATTGTGTATCAAATCAAACGACGTCACTTTTATGAAATCATGCCCTAGTGTACACTGAGTGATCGAAAACTGGAGAACGAAGGATAAAGCTAAAATCCCTCAGTTACAACTAATCATTAGTCGTATGCAATCATGATGTACTCGAACTGCTCAATGTTTTGCCATATCGTATACAAGCTAAGTATACGGCATACTCATGCTCCTCCCAACCTATTATCATTCTCCCGAGTCGTCACCAAAGACCTTCGCCATGCTGCTCACGATACTGGCGTCCCCTCCCTTCCCTTATGAACGCACTCTCCCACCATAGGACCGTTCGCAGGGTACAGTTTGTACAAACGGTACTGTAGGTAAAAATTGGCTTGTGAGCAACACTGGCTCACACTCAATCACTGCTTTTCACAAAATCATTTCAGAAAAAAATCAATTCAAAATTCGGTCATAAAATAACCATCATCAGGAATGAAATGGTACCGTAGTTGGAGGGTTTATTTTTCTATTTTTTTCTATTTTTACTATGTTCACAGAGTGCGATGGTAAGGGAAGGGAGCGGCGTCAGTATCACAAGGAGCATGGCGAAGGCCTCTGCTGTTATGAACCACTTTCAGAGACTGTCAGCAACTGCCAGCATACTATTTACAGGCAGACAATTAGCCGGTCAATAATTTCGTCCAACTCCAAAGAAAGGGAGTTCGTCCAGTTGACAATTTAGTCCAGGCCTAAGATTGTGTTGAAAAGCTAGACAAATCGACGTTAGTCCGGCATAGTCTGAAACCTCCTTGGACAAAAAAGACTAAATTTCTGCTTATCCAGTACATTGAGTGTGAACGGTGAGTGAAGCATTGACTTACGCACACACAGGCCTGCACTTGACGTCCAAGTCCCATCATCTTGGCAAGTGATTGTGGAGGGGGAGGACGCAGAAGAATTCGGTGCCCAATTCGTAGCACATGACACTGTTGCGACAGTCCCGGCTATGGTCTTTGATGAGGCTGGAATGGTGACACCCGCCACGCCTGGCTGTCCACAATCACCTGAACAGGGCAAGAATGGAAAGAATTTCAAAGATACAATGGTATACACGTATGGTGAGTTTAATTTTGTTCATAGCTATAATTATTATGATACTCTAATTTCAGAAATTTTCGGTGCTCAATATTTTCGGTATGAGGGCAACAGGCTAGGTTAGGTGAACAGAAATTTTCGGTACAGAGAAGCAGTTCCCTATTGGATATGTGTGTTAGTGTTTGTTCGGTGTATTGAAATTTAGGTGTGAAACAGACGCACCGAAAGTACCGAAAATAAAAGTACACCGAAAATTTGTGAAATTACGGTACCCATTCAAGGTAGGGCTTTCAGAGACTGGCAACGACTGCCAGCATACTTTGAGTGTGCTACAGACAGTGGAGCATTGACTTACGCACACACAGGCCTGCACTTGACGTCCAACTACCATTATCTTGGCAAGTGATTGTGGAGGGGGAGGACGCAGAAGAACTCATTGCCCAATTCGTAGCACATGACACTGTTGCCATAGTCCCGGCTATGGTCTTTGATGATACTGGAATGGTACCACCGGTTATGTTTGGCTGTCCACAATCACCTGAGCAGGGTTAGAATAGAAAGAATTTCAAAGATACAATGATACAGGTGGAATCCTGATACTTAAAACCTCAGAATGCCAGGAAGAAACTTCTAATTATCCGGACATTCTAAATACAGGTAGACTGCCTCTAATTCGAATACGGTATAATTCAAACATTCCGTGTAATTCGAACTTTTTCGTCGTACCGATCTTCTGCAAGTCACTTCAAGTCAAAATCGAATGCATAATTTGAAGTACGAAAAGTGCGCTGGTTGGATAATTCGAACCCAGTCTTCGTACAGAAGAGCTGTTTACAGTACATTGGCTATGTCCTTTGAACGCTCATTTCGAAGTGAGATTGAGTTGCTATCCTTGTAATTCGAAGTTCATTCTTTTCTCCTTCTCTAGCCAAGAGTAGCTCAAAAATCGATCGATGGTCCGCTGCAGGATCGACTATAGCGTTCAAGAAACCCACCTTCTCTTGAAATTTGATTCAAGCACGTGCGAGGCAAATCGCAAAGGTTTGATTGAAGACGACTTCTTCCAGGTGGCTGACTCTCTTCGCGAATCTCGATGGCCTTTCTTGCCGCGCCAGCTCGTGCGCAGAGATGTTGGCGCACAACAACACTATTGTCGTAAATATTGTCTATGCCCTTGCTCCACTTCCGTTTTTCAGAACGACGTGCTGCTGTCCAACGGCCTTTCATGACGCGGATTAGGCAGCGCAGTTCTTTTCCGTTGAAATTGTTTCAGGAAAGCTGCAGTGACTGACAACTTCTTCACTAGAAGATGAAGATAATGTCAAAAATTAATGATTTTGTGTCGATCCAGTGTTTTGATGATCCGTTGTAGATCTCTACATGACCGCGTACCGGTACGACCACCTATGTTTCGTTGATGAAAATAAAATGTGTAAAAAATATTCAGCATGCGATTTCAAGCATTTTGACATACATATCAGTGCATGGGGCTGCATTTGGATAATTAGAAGTTCCGGATAATTCAAAGTTAGGGCCTGGCAATTTGAGGTTCGAATTAAAGGGAGTCTACCTGTGTCTAAACATGAACCCATCACACAGTATGTATGTCAATATGCTCTCATGGTCAGGCAGAGTTGCGCAGTATGAACCTTAGCAATCCGGGGTTACCGATTGTTTTTACAAAATGAAATGTTTTAGGATTTTTCAGCCCCCACCCACCCACCTTTTCTGCAGGTAAAGCGAATCCCAATAAAATATTGATGTCAATTTTCGACACCCAGAAGAAACTGGGCATTCCCATCTGCATTCAATATTTATTTTTAAAACGAAACTCCATCAAAGCCACCTACCCCTGATGATAACTTTTCGTTTTGTAAATATTATTGGTAACATTGGACGGCCCTTTAGACACAGATTTCGCGGACACTGAACTGACCGGCACAGCCTGCTCATGCAAACTGAACTGACCAGTACAGTGTACAGTGAACTTCGAATTACACTTTGCCAGCTTCGAATTATCAGCACAAATCCTACACATTTTCTATGTGAGTGGAATCCATGGGACTTCTAATTTTTCGAACATGTCCAGTTTCAGGTTCGAATTATCAGAAATTAATATGTGGGAATGGCTAGGCCATCTAGCTAGGATGGACGGCGCTAGAACTCCGCGCCAGTTCCTGTTTGGTACGCTCCTTCCGCCGAGGCCGGCATGCGGTCCTCGGAAACGGTGGCGAATGCATAGGTTTCAGTGAGAATAATTGCCAACACAAAATTCCATATTTGGTCAATAGAAGCCAGTAAAACGAGTACAAAATATACGCATTTTTGATGAATTTTCGCATAACACGGGTTGAACGTACCAGAGCATGTAGCTCATTTACACTAGAATGGCCAGGTGGATATGATGGTAAGAACTAGGTTTGACATAATTACGGTTTTGATGATGACCAAATATGGTCATGTTTGCTGAGGACAGCTGAGGGGCGTCAGGAACTATTCAATGTGCATGCGAATAGCTAGGCAACAGGTTCTTGCCGAACAGACAAAGGCAGAGACATGCACATAATTATTATTAACACTCATACAAACCTATCTAGCCATGCAATTCTCGCATTCACATTCACCCGTACATTCATGTACACCATTGGACACATGCATGAAAGCGCACCCGAGCGCGCGCGCGCGCACCCACACACACACACACACACACACACACACACAAATTATAGAATGAAGCTCACACAAATTATTGAATGCAGCTCACACAAAATTATTGAATGCAGCTCACACAAATTATTGAATGCAGCTCACACAAATTATTGAATGCAGCTCACACAAAGTAGCTGAGCGCTGCAATACCACTACAGTGAACTAGCAGGTACAGTAAGTATGGTTTATAAAGTGACCGGATATAATGATATACCGGTTATAGTGATAGAACACGTCAAAGTCAAAATCAAATCAGAAAAAAATACAGCTAAAATATCACTATATACACTATTATCGGCTATACCGATATATCGCTTATTGTGATGGACTTCAGGAAGCAAACCATATCAAATGTACAGGAAAATATCGCATATAATGATCAAGAGTGATCTTTCTGCATGCTCTTGTCCGTTTCTGGCTGTGTTGCCTCTCACGATGATGTTGCCAACTCACGTAGATAGATCTTCACAGCCACTCATGTCTATTTCTGGCTCTACGCAACTCGTTGGACACCGAGTAGATCTGACGTGAGCACGGATCCAGCTCAGGCTTTTTTTGGAGAACACGCTGAAGAAGCAGCCATGCCACATGATGTATCGAAGTTCTAGTACATGTACAGTCTGTACTCGTACTGCACTGCCATGCACTGCTCTGTGTCATGCACCGGTACACAGTCCGCGGAGCATGCATGCACTTTCAGCATGCTTTTTCCAGCGTGTACGCATCATTTCATGTGCAGTCATGTGCCATGTGTCGGTCAAACATGCAAATCGGCTATAGTGATGCACCGGATATAGTGATACATTTTTCGAACATCAAAGGGGCACGTTATATCCGATATTCACTGTAGCTAGCAACTAGATAAAGCCTGCCAGAATCCTCAAGCGGTGCCCAGACCTGCCCACCCCTGACACGAGCGAGAACAGCTCTATTGCCCCCGGTGAGACTCCTCGAAACACGGAATGCAATAGCCAAGATTCCCGAGGCAATCAGCGCACATGGTGCGGACATCCTTCCGGTTACCCTTGCCGTAGCAGGCAACACACTGTTTCTGCAGATTAGCCTTTTTCTCGGTTGCCGGGATGTAGCGCAGGAAGTGGCTGTCCATGCGCTTCGTGCCTGTGGCTCCACCAGTTGCTGCAGCAGCTGCTTCCGCGCGAGCTACCATCTCCGCCTTGTCTTCGGCGATGAGGGCTTTCAGGGCGCGCTTCACAAAGTCGAAGTGCGTCATGCGGTTTGACTTCCGTTTGGCTCGATCAGATGCACGGCGAGCTTCTTGTACCACTTCAGGGACTTGCGTGCAGCGGTGTAGAACGACAGCATCTCATCATTTTTGTCAACTCCACCCATCTTCTTGTTGTAGCCCTGTACAAGACAAATCTTGCAAACTGGGCGGCGCTGCCGATCTCGCTTGCCAGTTGGCTCTACGTTTGCCTTGTGCATCGTGGACAGAAAATGCACCTCCTTTGTGTCCTGCAACTTTATGAACATCATGCCGCCACCACCGCTCCGGTGGTGGCAATGCGGTTCTTGCGAATGGTACCGCATACTCCCGTTACGTTGCCCTTGAGATAGGTGGCTATCGGGATACTCGTGTACCAGTTGTCCGCATACAGCTTATACCCCTTCCCGAGAAGCGGCTCAATGAGCTTGTGCACTACCGCACCGAACACGCCGAGCTCCTTGACCTTCTCAGGGCAGAAGGTTTCGTTGTCCTTCCCGACGTAGACAATCAGATTGAAAAGGTAACAGCTGTCCTCGCAGAGCGCATAGATTTTCATCCCGCAGCGTGCTCTCACTTCGACGGAATATACTGGCGAAATGATATCCTTCCCTTGAACGCCACCAGTTCCTCGTCAATTGAAATGTACTCGTTGGGAGTGTAAACTCTCATAAAGCGCTCCTGAAGCCACGTCAGAAGAGGCCGTATCTTGGAGAGCTTATCGTTGGGATCTTCTTCAGCGTTGTCCATGAAGTGCAGAAAGTTCATGATAGAGATGAAGCGCTCGCGCGACATCGTACGGCTGTAGAACAGCGTGGCGATGATGGGATCCGTGCTCCAATAGTGGCCAAGCTCGGGCTTAGGAACAAGGCCCATGTTCAAGAACAAGCCCAGGAACACTTTCATTTCGGCTACGGTAACGGGTGTCCACGAGCGGGCGAGGCTGCGCCGGGCCAGTGTTTCAGCGTTAGCGTCGATGTATGCTCTTGGTAACCGGTTTGTCTCCGTCACTAGCATCTCCCATCTCCAATTGTGCAGTGAAGAACAGCTTGACATAGTCCAGTGGAGTTGGATCGTCCGGGAGAGGCATCTTGATACCTGGCTGGCCAGTAAATGGCGGCACATTGGGTTCCACATTCAGATACCTGCAGTTACAAAATATCCATGACAAATCCCATGATGTTCCCAGTGTCGCTCACAAATGCTAATACATGTAATTATAACAATTTGCATTGTCCAAATCTGCCCGCAGATTGAGTTGTAAATGTGTATGAATACTAAAAATATGATTCAAATTTGGGATCTCACAACGATAAGCATTTGCAACACAATGCACATTTACATGCACTGTGAAAGAGGAACAATGTCCGTGCATGATCATTGAGCGATCAGCTGAGGAACAAAAATTTTAGTACAAATATTTGAAAATGTGAAGTTATGAGTACTATTTTTAGATCCATACGCACACTTCTTTTAACCCTTTACCGTTTGTACGTACAAATTTCGACCGCTCGCGGTCGATGACTTCTATGCGCACAGCGCTGGACTGGTTCACCGCAGAGAGCTGGGATTTTCCCTACTGGTAGCCAAGATGTATACGCGCAGAGGGTGCCGACAATTTTTTTGTGTGATGCAATATAAAAAATCGCGAAAATCGCGACTTGAAAAATGCGCTTGGGGAAAAGTGCGTACCCTGCGACTTTTGGTACTGCCTGCAGATTATTTCGACTTTGCTTGAGCTGGCCTTACGACTGTCTGCCCTGCTGTGCAAGCCATGGACGCGGAGCAAGCTCTTTCGCTTCTGGAGACCCTTCCTGACGACTCTGTCGCTGCCTCATCCAGCGAAGATGAGTTTGTGGAGCCAGACAATCCTGTTGAAAATATTTATTCTGACAACGACCGCGACGATGACATGGCGAGTGAAAGCAGCGCCAGTAAGAGTGCCATGGATGTCACAGACGACGACAGTGTCGCTGAGATGAGTGCCACTAATGGTGGAAGGGGAAGTGGCAGAGAGAGAGGATTCGGCCTTGGAATAGGCCGTCGTCACGGTAGAGGTCGTGGTGTACAGGTACTATGTATAGCCAGCGGTGCAATCTGCACTAGTCGATATTTGCAATACTTGGGACAATGCTGACACCGCTGTGACTGGTAACACTCCTGCATTCCACCCAGAGAACGAACCTGGTATCCACTTACCTGAGAGAGCCACTCCAGTGCAAGGATCTGATTTATTGCATATTGCAACAGTTTGCCCGATCGGCAATACATCCAAATAATTATTAGTGCTAAATAGTGAAATCTGTGTTCGTTTTCTGGACTTGAAAGTTGTTGCATCGCATTCCTGAGGGTTTTTACTTTCAGAATCACCCCATTTTGTACATAATAAAAGTGAAAAATAAAAAAGTTACGGCATGAACAGTGACGGTCGGTTTTTGCTGTACAAATACCTAAAACGGTAAAGGGTTAATCTTGTTTTTATTTTTTTCTTAACACCTACCGGTACTTTTACCCATTCTACTTCCCCATAGCTAGGTCTAGTTTTGCTTTACATTTCTGTTTCTTTTTCCTGGTGCGTGCTTGTGGCATTGAAGCCGAGACCTTTGGTCGGTGGAGCCCCTTGTACCTCACCATCACTGCTGCCCAGTGCAGCCCCTGCTCAGTAGCTGTTTGTTTTTGTCCACATAATTATTTATTTTACGAGTTGGGTTTGTGAATAAAAGTAAAAATAAAAATAAAAATAAAAACACCTACCTTCACTTCCATCGTCGCCCTCAGCTAGTGCTTCGACTGCTTCCACGTGGGTTATAGCAGATGTCCCCTCGCTCTCACTGCCACTGTCGCTGCTGGCGCTACCTATATCGTCATCCGCAGCATCTCCTACGACATCGTCGTCGTCCAATTCATTTTCACTATCGCCTGGCGACGCTGCGCGATTTTCAGGCAGATCTCCATTTTCCTCCGACAGAACGATGTCGTCTTCAGACAATGTCAGCTCGACATCACTGTCAGGGTCGAGTACCACAAGGTCGAGGACATGATCGAGATCGTCTGCACTATATTGACGCCGCGCCATGACAGCAAATTGTCAAAATTTCCATTAGTCAAATAATTGTTCACGCGACATCTATGTACGCGTGCATAGCGGCACATGCGTCCGTTAGTACTATCGTAGAACTGTTGACGTTCATCCATCACGTCACTGGTCCACGTAAGGATAAGATCCGTCGACCACGGATGTCTCGAGAGAACTTTCATTTTCACTGTGCGCATCACGTATGTATAAGTGATCCGTGGGTCAGTTACATGTATCATCACGTATATATACGTGATGCGTGCTGAAAGGGTTAAGTTTGGGTTTGGTTGGGCATTTTCAGAATGTCATCGACAACCATTCTGGAATGGGGATTGGTAAGAATCACCTGACCAAACAAACGGGCCCGGAATCAACTAGTAAGCACTTGACATAACAATTCCATCATGCCGCTGTGGAACAGCGGCTCTCTTCTCTTTTACCCGACTCTAGTTTCCTTGAGAGAGTCAAGGTACTTCTGAGTGCATGATTTAAGGTACTTGAACCTGTAGCTACATTGGTTGGCTCGTGGTAACCATTATCATGTTTGATTCCGGAATGAGAATGCTCATTCCAGCATGTGAGGTGGAATGATCATTCTCCAAAAAGGATCATTCTCAGCCATTCCCATTCTGCAAAGGGACCAATCGAACGGAATTTTTGACAAAACAAACGGGCCAGAATGATTCCCAGTGATTCCCGTTGTGGATTGTGACCAGCCAAACGCAATCTAAGTGTGTGTCCCTGACACATTCTTCCTCACAACACTCTTCAGGTACAATCTTCCTCTGCCTACAGAAGCTCAACTGATGAGGGGTGAATTCCCCGAACCACTGTGTATTGAGCAGGGAGTGGTGTTTTCTTGCAAGAAACACATGAGAACGAGTTGTGTGGCAACTATCCACGATTCTCTTTTTGAATTTTATGACTGGCTTTTTAATTTTAAAATCAGTTTCGGGATTTGAAAAGATCGTTTAGCAACGCGAAAGTTCGATACCTCCGTTCTTCTTTGAAAACGACCAGTTCGGCGCAACTCTACAAAACAGGATTTCTATACTTTTCAGCAAAAGCTACAGGTTGGTTTTACCTGATTACAGCTAGCTGTACTTGGAAAGAAAGTAATTTGCACTTACGATAACATGTCGGCACTGAGCTCAATGTACCATCACCGTTGCACGTAGCTGATGAATTCCCCACCAGAAAGTATGTATGGTTGCATGTAAACTGAACAGCAGCACCATATTGAACGAGTGAAGCATTACTCATACCAAATTGTATGGCTGGCACGCTGCAATTGAGAACTGGACACAAGGTCAACAGGGAAGAAGAACAAGAAAAGAAATTATCACTATTCCAATCTTGGCCTCAGAAAATTTTCGACAAGTCTGGTGAGGATCCTCTGCAAACATGAAACAATCTATACTTCAATGAAAACATTCACAGTTTGCGTGAGACTGGGCTGGAGGCCCGAGTTTTCTGCATCCGTAGGAGCTCCGCTACCCTCCATGGGTAAGGTGGGTGAGGGCAACAAAGAAGAAGAAAAAGAAGGAAGGAAGTTCTCCCTATTTTGACTGTTCTAGTTAGTCCTGCTTGGAAACAGAAGGATTCTTCCAGCAGTGATGCGACACGCGGTTAATAGGGAACTTGTGGCCAGGTACGAGGGAAACATGGATGCAGTGAATGGGATTTCGGTCTTTGATCACTTGGTGGTGGGTCTGATCTACATGGTGGTGATGTTGCTGCGGATGCGGAAAATTCCGCTTCCAGCCCAGTTTCACGCAAACCGTGAAATATATAATAGTGAGGGTAATCACCCAGCCTGAAACCTTCCAGTACTCCTAAAAGTGGGTATTTGGAAATTGATAATTTTTTAACAAGAGAGATTGGAAGTTCCAACTCGGAGCACAAGACTGATCTCAAGGTGCCTCAAAGAGGTGGTGCACACACACACACACACACACACACACACACACGCACACACGCACACACACACACACGCACACCTCAGACTTCAGGCATGCCCATCGCGGAAGCAATGATAGCGAACAGGTATGTTAGACCTAGCAACTTGTGCTGGGATTACACCATTCAACAGCTTGCAAGGCTGATACCCAGACACACCCACACATACACACACACAAGCACAAGCACACACACACACACACACACACACACACACACACACACACACAGAAAATAGGCAGCATGACTACTAGCTAGATTCAAGTTGTTTGATACGTTCGGACAAGTGTTGAAGCGTCCTGCCAACATACCGACTACCGCACTGTCGGCATTCAAAATGATAAATTAGGTGACTCAAATGATGGGTCGGCAGGACGTCCTTCAACACCGTGAACGAACGTATCAAACAACACGTCCCATTGTCCTTGTTGTCAAAAGCGGCCAGGGCAGGCAGGCCAAAGCGTGGGAGGCCACGAAAACACCCGTTGCCTACTACTACGCCTGTCAGTATTACAACACAACCAGAAACGGATACAACACCGGACTCAACAGTAGCGCAACACATGAATCTGGTGTCACTCTTGACAACAACACGGCATGGGAGACCACCGGACGATCGTTCGTTAACAAACCCGACGGCGGTAACGGAAAGATCACCAGGAGAACGAAATGAAAATGGAGGAAAAACGAATCTGAGGAGAAGCCAGAGACTAGCGGAGACACGACTGAGAAAAATGGAGAAGGCGGAACCAGTAGTGGCAGGTGAAAGTACGGACGCGGCAGTGAACACGTCAAGGAGAAAGAAGCGATGGCATGAGGAGATGGAGATGGAGGATGATGATGGGGATGAACAGGATGGTCAGGGGGAAAGCAAGGGGAGCAGGAACAGGAAGTGGAGGATGGGGGTGATACGGACGAGGAGGAGATCGACATCGACAAGAGCAAGTCTGCCATCTACAAGCATTTGGTGTCCAGTCCGGACTGTCGTAAGTTGTTTGACGATTCCTGGTTTAGTGTTATTTGTCGCGCGCGTTTCTTTAAGCAGTTGCAGGTGTTGGAATGCTGTATATATTCGCACACGTGACCCTGTTCTATGCAAGCAAAAAGAAAATGTTGTAGCACTCACACTTTTTAAATAGTACGCACTCACCAGTTTTTGTTCACACGCACTCACAGCTGCCACATTCATCTACTGCTACCATTCTCAGATACACTGCAAAGGTTCACACTACACGCGTTATGCATAACCGCTAGCTGTGCTGCATTCTCACGCTTCTTTTCATATTACTCTAGCTATATAACAGGTTGTTTTAGTGATTCTTACTATGTGACGATGTTCCACTGATGATGGTCACACGAAAACGTTCTGGAATTGTTTCATTTTAATTGTTTATACATGGTTATGAGTGCACAATTGATATTTTTCATTGCTATTTTACGGCTGTTGTCTCCTCGTCGGTTATTTAAATAAAAAATTAAATAATAAAAGGTAAATGAAGCCCAATATCATCAGCAGAGCCGAACCAAGGAACATGACCCGTGCCACAGTCAGGAGTTCATCCGTAGAAGTCGGTAGCCATCAGCCAGTGTTGGTGCGTGAGGTACTTATGGACATCTTCTTTGAACGTGTGGAGCCGCTTTAAGCTGAGTGGAGCCCTTACAATTTCGCTTGGCAAGCTGTTCCATACTGAGACTACAGAAAACGGGAAGGAGTGAGAAGCATAGGCAGGTGCTCTCCTGTCCAGGACTTGCTGCAGCTGCACATGGTGCTGCTGGCCAGGAGGGGGTTGACTCTGGGTGCGCCGAGCTTCTACATGGTTGGCTGGAGGGGGGGGGGGGGATCATGGCGGTGAGCTGGGGTGGTCCTGGGATACACTGGAGCTTGTACAGGTATACCAGCCCAGATACAATCCGGCGGTGGCACAGGCTTTGGAGAAGGGCACCAGGGCCAATAATGGCCATTGCACGTTTCTGTACACGGTCGAGTCGGGCGAGGTGGCTGGATGCAGCTCCCATCCACACAAGGGGAGCATACTCGAGGATGGGTCGCACAAATCCCTTGTACGCACAAAGCCGGCCATGGTAATCTAACACCCGACAAGCCCGACGGAGAACACCCAGTCTCTGGCAGCCACGTGTCGCAATTGAGTGCAAGTGATCCCGGAATGACAGCTTGGCGTCAAATGTCACTCCAAGAAGCTTGATGGTGTTGGCTTCCGGAACCACGATACCTCCAAACTTGATGTCAGGGACAGCAGGGTGTGTGGCTTTCGTAGTCATCAGCAGCTGTTGCGATTTAGAGGGCTCGAATCTGATGCGCCAGCGTTCTCCCCACTCTTCAAGACGCTTGAGGCTGGATTGCAAGGCGGCAGTCATGTCATGCATATTGTCCTGCGTGCGGATGAGGCTGTAGAGGGTTGTGTCGTCTGCAAAGGAACTTAGTCGCATCTCGGGAGACAGGCACTGATCCAGGTCAGACACATACAAGAGGAAAAGTGTCGGGCCAAGGATACTGCCTTGGGGCGCACCTGCTGTTATGGGCGCCGGAGAGGATGAGTCGCCGTGGACCAGGACTGATAGTTTGCGGTTCAGGAGGTAATCCTGCAGCCAGTGCAGCAGGCAGCCACCAATGCCAACGTTCTTGGCTTTGAAAATCAGTTCAGAGTGTGATACCCGATCAAATGCTCCTGCTATGTCCACCGCCACCATGTGAGCGTACCCTCCATCGCTGACAGTCTTAACCCACTCAGTGTGCAAAGCAGTGAGGATGTCGCACGTGCCTCTCCCTTGCCGAAAGCCATATTGACTGTCGGGCAGAATATTGAAACGCTCCAGATAATTCACGAGCTGCTTGTTTACTATGCTCTCCATTACTTTTGACAGGATGGATAGTAGTGAGACTGGCCGGTAATTCTTGGGATCCGAGCGGGGGCTCTTCTTGAAGACTGGAACCACATGGGCCAGCTTCCATTTGGTAGGTTGAACACCATGGCGAAAGCAGAGTGAGAACAGTTTGGTGACTGGTTCTGCAAGCTCACTGGAACACTGAGCTAGGACTCTTGCTGGAATATTGTCAGGTCCTGTTGCCTTCGATGTATTCAGCTTGGCTAGACGGCGGCGTACATCAGCAAGCCGGAAATGGATGCGGTCAAGACCATGGCGGTCCAAATGCTGCATTTCTGGCAGATCGTCTGGAGAGATGTCATCATCTGCAAGGCTACACTTCCGGGAGTAGTACCTGGCGAGGCAATTGGCCTTGGCTTGGCGAGTTGGATAATCTGTGCCGTTGGTGTCCTTCAGCAGAGGTATCTCAGAGGCACGTTCCATCCCAGCAGCTCTCTTCATGTTGGACCACCATTGCTTGTCGTTAAGTGAGCCTGAGCTGAGCTTAGCTTTGACACGAGCATCATGTGATGATTGGGCACGCAGCAAAATACTAGTAGCAGCTGTTCGGGCCACTAGGTCGATGAATGAAGCTCGCAAATCTCCATCATCGGGGTGCTGACGCCACCGTTTCCATGCACGAGCTCAAGACCTCAATTAGCAAACACTAAACACCGGCAGATAGTAGAACACCTCTTCTAGCGCTGAGGACATATCCCCCATCATCTTTTTTGGGTTTTCTTGAAATAAACAATTTTGAATTTTTCCACTCGACCATTCTGAAATACGTCCAAACTCATACCTGCGCAGGAAAGCTCTCCCCTCCGCGACTTCTAGTCAGCAATTTCTACTCCAACACCACTCCCAACGCTGCAGAACAAAGTGTATTGTTGACTCTGACAAGGAAAAGCAGCGGTGATCACTTGTCACTCCAAACGACAAGATTCTCCTTGCGCCACCAACATTTTTCGGTGCAACAGTTGATGCAAAAGTGACTGAATTTTTGCGTGTAGTTTTTGGATTTTACTGCAAGAGGAATGACATGCTCTCTTAATAGAAAACCAAAAATGCTGCTATTCTGCTTTGCATGGACAAATGTTCCGACCTTCCTATTGACAAAATCATACATTCGTCCCCTCTTAATAACGAAAAATAACTGGTCGTTTAATACATTAGATTTTGTATGGCTTCCCTGCTTGGTCCACCATCAACACCCAAATTGAGAAATTAGAAATTCCTCATCGCCGTATACTGCCCATAATATTTCATACTGATGGTTACGTCTCAAATCCAGACTTGCATGCTGCTGCGTACACTACCGCTTTGCAACGCTACCTTGATCCTCCCAAGTCCGGACATTGTCTCCTAGGCTACTGCCCGTACGACCCTGTTAAAGATCTCGGAGCTCTCCCTTCTCATCAAACTCCCAATCCATCTGTCTTTATATCTCTCTAACTCTCCTCCATTCTCACTCTAAATCTTTCATCAAAACTGCACGGCAATGAGCCTCTACTTTTGCCTCAGCATCATGATCCTGATACTGCTATCTTTGTACTTGTTTGTGTTGTGAAACTACAAGTTCTCGAGAGTGAAAGGCCTTCTCGCTTGTGACATTGTGTTCGTTCCAATGCAGTTGTATCCCGACTCTGCCGTACCGTTGATGTTTACGACGTAGTATACGCTACATGCGCTATGTGCGGTTTGCTGAGTGCGCTGTAGTTGTATGTTGTATGTGTATGCTTTTCTCATATACGCTGTCATTTTCACGCTATAACTACCTGGTGGTTTTAGTGTTAGTTATTCAGTTGTTCATTCATTCATTGTTCATTGTTGTTAGTCGATGGAAGTGAAATATACTGTTGAGAATACATAGTTGTCCTCGTGCCGTGTGGGGTCGTTCGTTCCTGACACTTTAGAGAACCAGAGGGTTCACTCAGCAAACCGCACATAGCGCATGTAGCGTATACTACGTCGTAAACATCAACGGTACGGCGGAGTCGGGATACAACTGCATTGGAACGAACACAATGTCACAAGCGAGAAGGCCTTTCACTCTCGAGAACTTGTGGTTTCACAACAGTTTGCTTACTTGTTTGCACTCATATCTTGGAATAACAAGTTTCCCGGTTTCCTCCCCTCCCTCCTCTCTTTCCTAACCTTAGAGTTCTTGCTCTCCTGCTCCCCGCGCCCTTCCACTCCCCATTTTGTTTCCTTTGGTGCACATGTGCAGCTGTGATGCCGAGACCCTTGGTCGGCTGAGCTTCACAGGTCCCACCCACTCCGTCCTGCTGGATATGCGCCATTGTATCGAGTTCTCCTCCTCATTTTAGTTCATCATACAGTGAGTGTTCAATAGAAAAAATAAAATAAAAAGTGCACCCTGGCTCATTTCATTTTTCTTGGCCTGCAACCTGCTTACTCGCAGTCGCTTAATTGGTTCAAGTCATGTGATATCACCCGAAGCCACGTTCGTCTACCCCAAGCTAGACCTACCCTATTCGTAAATTCCCCTTTCTTTTCCACCTACTCCACATGGCTTCAACTGCCTCCCAGTGTTACGCAAGCTCCGGATAAGGCAAAATTCTGCACCCTCGTCAGACAGCACTTCAGTATCTTCCAGTAAACTAAAACACAGTCACCTCTTCCGCTGCATAGCTCGCTGGGCATCCCATTGCTTTGTAACTTGCTAATCCCTACCCCTTTCGTGTACGTGCTTTTCATTTCTTTTTTCTCTTCCTCCGTGGTTGGCCTCACCCTCTCCTCAATCCACTACGCTGTCTTGGGTGCGGAAAAAACAAACAAAAAAACACTAGTGTGTTATCAAAGAAGCGTTAGATCGTCAGACTTACGATCACATGAGAGGACTTGTGTTATTCCTTTGCACCCTGGTGTACTATGGTGGTACGCATATCCACGGTCACAAACGACGTCACAGTCCTCAGTGATGGTAGCGATATGGTCTCCGACAGCTGAATTCAAATTGATGAAAGGAACACGATGTGCAACAAAATCTTCTTTATCAACTCTGACAGTGACATTTATATTTATTCTCGTAGCTATGCAGAAGACGTTACTTCAGTAACGTCTGGCGCCAGCCAGGGTCCACACAGCTTAAATTTGGTGTTTGTTTGTTTGTGTGTTTGTGTCACACCTGGCGCTACCCCGTATCTGTCCCGTACCGTACCGTACCATCAAACACAGCTGGCCACATACAGCTGGCCGCAATATTCAAATAGGGCTTTCAAACGCAAGATCATAACGTGAAGCAACTTGGAAGAATGAGTATGAATGCGAAGTGTATGGGGGAATGCATGCAAGGCGATGGTGCGGGTTAGAACCCCAGGTTATGTCTAAAAACTAGTGGTGAAACGAATGTCAAAACCTACTAGCCGAATATTCTTTGGCTTAACGAACGAATGAACGAATATTCTTTTGGTAGCAGAGATGACATCACATGCCCTCCTCTCAGTCATTTGATGGATATTGTCATTATTATTAGGTATGACAAACGGTAGTGCCACATAAAATGTACTGCCGCATAAGGTTACTTCGAAATTCATACATGTTATGTGCACCATTGGCAGTCCAGTATGGACATACATGTGAATGCATGCAGTACAAAGTCACCGGCAGACTGTACGCACTGCACTGTACCGTGTTCGGCGTGCATGTATGTACAGGCACTGCATTCGAAGTGACGTAACGAATACTCGAATGTGACTTAACGAATATTCGAATGTGACAAACCGAACGAATGTTCGAATATTCGAATATTCGTTTCACCACAAATTTATAAGAATTTATAACATCCCTATGCTTCTTTTCTCTAGCTCATCAAGGCAAAAAAGCATAGCGTAGGGCCCTGAGCTTCCAAGCTCTCTCGTTTTATTTCATTTCAAAGGATCAGTCGGGGAATTGAAGTTCTCCCAATCCTTTCGAAACTATTTATTTTTATTCTTATTTACAACGCGGATGGCGAGCCAATTAAATTATGGTGAAATAGGAGAAGGACAACATGTTACGAGTTATGACTAATTGTCCACCAACGTAACCAGATCTTATTCCTTCAGCGAGTGCGACAAATAGGCACAAAACTGACAAGGAGTACTGAGACATTCGGCGACCTGACACCTAGCTCCAACACTTCTCCAAAGCGCAAACCAAAAACCTTTCAACTTGGAAGGCTCAGGTTCAGAAAGGTCCAAGAGGGGAAAGAAAAGCGCAACGAAGAAGAGCACGAGCTACGCATCACGGCAACAAAGAATGCCGAAAATTTCTGGAAGATGACGAAACTAGTAAGACAATCTCGGTACTCCTTGTCAGTTTTGTGCCATTGCAACATTTTTGTCCTTCTCCTTTTCACTATTCCTATTTTACTAGGGAATTCCCATCAGGCGTCATCGCCTTTATACAGGCAGCGATAAGAAAGTCTTGATGGATTATCGAAATCCAGCAGATGAATTAGACATTTCACGTAGAGTGGTGATCGGCGTGCCAGATTTCAGAGCTTAGTAACGATATCATGACCCATGCCTTAGTGTTACCACAGCCTTCCGTTTTAATAATATTTCGTGATGAAAGTGAGCTCTGTTTGTTTGCCAAACCGTGGTGCACTAGCAGCGTTGCTTCTTCCCGCTTTTAGAGATACGTTCACTAAAAGAGCATTGCGAGAGTTGGCAATGTCGGAGGGCCGGCTGTAAGGTTTTGGAGATGATGGTGGGCAGGACAGTGCCCTTGTATTTTCCTCGTTTTTTTCTTTTCTTTTTCTCGTTTTTTGCGCTTTTTTCATTGATTTTGATGTCAAAAGGGGATTAGGCACTCTTGATCTTTCCTCTACAAAATGATACCGTTTACACATACAATTGTTTTCGATTTTTGGGTTTTGTGTTCTAATGATTCACCGTGCCACTGTCAATAATATTCTGTTTGCCCGTAAAAGGGGCCTTTTCTCTTAAAAGTGGGCTGTGAGCAACACTCGTTCATACTCAATCGCTGAAGTTTAGAAATCATTTTGTGAAATACTGTCCAGTATTCGATATAATATGTCAAAATCCAATTTGAAATTGGATTTTGACATATCGATTATCTACGGGATTTGCTATGACTAATAGGCAAGTTTGCGTGGTATCCAGAGGCTCAGATTGACCGTTTTGATTTCTTTGCATCGTTTCAAAAGTGATTGGACAGAGGCAAGGGCAGATAAATCCACTGTTGTGAAAACACGAGTTCTCGAGAGTGAAAGGCCTTCTCGCGTGTGTTCGTTTCAATGCAGTTGTATCCCGACTCCGCCGTACCGCTGATGTTTACGACGTGGTATACGCTACAGGCGCTATGTGCGGTTTTGCTGTGTGCGCTGTTGTTGTATGTGGCATGTGTATGCTTTTCTCATATACGCTGTCATTTTCACGCTAGAACTACCTGGTGGTTTTAGTGTTAGTTATTCATTCATTGTTCATTGTTAATTTAGTCGATCGAAGTGAAATATACTGTTGAGAATAAATAGTTGTCCTCGTGCCGTGTGGGGTCGTTCGTTCCTGACACTTTAGAGAACCAGAGGGTTCATAACAGCCACAACAGGTGATATGAACTAGTAGCATGTGTTCTTGCAGACAGGGTCTCTGTTGGCAGGACCTGGTATGGTAACTTTGGTTTCCTTCGTGAGCAACCCTACTGAGTCCAGGAGTACATTATAAGTCTGGGTTGGAAAGTGGCACAATAAATTTGCTGCAAACCCGAAGGCAATTGGGCACTTACGAAATTCACATATAACATGTAACGGTTTGTGTGCAAAAAAGCCAAAATTGGCAGTAGACCAGTGTACTTGACTTCCATTTTTATCTGTATAACTGCTGTTAATCCAGGACACAGTTTTTAGCTTCATGTCCATTACATCCGTACAGTTTGCTTGAAAGGACTCCACGCTCAATATCTTGCCATTGTGCAAATCACAGCCTTTCAGAGCGGTTGTATAGTTGACTTTTCCCCAACGAAATGCATCCCGGAGAACAGTGTGGGTACGTGGACAAAAGCTGTAGCTGTCTAGTTCGGGATATTCTGCAGGTTTGTACACGGAACACACTTAACCATATATAAAGTGGAAATTGTTTAAGAACAATATGTTTACTTACTGTAAGACCGGAAAGTCTAACGAGTCTCAAAGTCTAACGTTTTAACGATCAGTTATTTTTCGTTATTCGAAAAATACGTTATCGCTAGATGTCTGCGTAAATATGCGCATACAGATGGGTGGCAAAGTAGCCAGCGTTAAACTTTCTGCACGTAATCATGCCAAAATTACAAAAAAACGTTAAATTTGTTGGTCTTTAAAATTTCCGGTCTTACAGTACTTGCACTTAATCAACGCCAAAACTTGTCACGTGAGTCTCCCCGGGAGAGGGGGGAGACACTCAAAAGCGGTCTTGGAAAGATGATTCAAGTGGCTATTGAACCGCCCAACGGCCGAAAAACCTTGAAAATCCAAAACTCGAGGGTGGACTTGAATATCATCCCACTTATGGGCTCACCACACGTCAGTGGTGTGGTGAGGACAAGTTGCAGAAAACAGCATCAGGATATTTGTCCCGGGATCCAACTGCAGTTACCCCTGCCCCCTGGAAAGGTAACACTTGCTACTAATGTGTGTGTGGCTAAATCAGAATGGATCTGATAATTTAAAAGCTTCACTAGCACCATTGTTTCCACAAGAGTTACTGTAGCCAGAAGCAGTCCATGGTTATCAGGTATTGAAAGTATGAAGCCTCAAACCAACAAAGCTGGCAGGTAAAACATTACACCTTCAAACAGAAGAGGTCATTGGCAACAGACCCAAGCGAACTAGCAGGGGAATATGCACCCATGGGTACACACATTTGCATTTCTGACCATCAAATGGTTGTTCTTTGGTCGACCTTAATACGCTCACGCTGCTATCTGGCGTTCACAAAGCGTTTGTCGCACCGGAGCCGGAGCGTCTCTTTAAGGTAAGGTTTGGTTGGGCATTTTCAGAATGTCATCGACAACCATTCTGGAATGGGGATTGGTAAGAATCACCTGACCAAACAAACGGGCCAGAATCAACTAGGAAGCACTTGACATAACAATTCCATCATGTCGCTGTGGAACAGCGGCTCTCTTCTCTTTTACCCGACTCTAGTTTCCTTGAGAGAGTCAAGGTACTTCTGAGGAGTGCCCGGAAGAACTCTTTGCCCAGTTTCTAGCACAGCCCACTGTGGCAACAGCACCAGCTAGGGTACTCCGTGTTGCTATACTGGTGCCGGAGACTATGGCTGGCGATCCACAATCGCCTGAGCAGGGCAAGAGTGGAAAGAATTTCAAAGAAACGATGATATGCACATACAAGTTTGAAGAAGATGACGGAACTATTCCAGCTAGTCTATATAAAGGCTTGGTGGTTTTTCAAGTAGAAAATCCTTTTCCTTGACAAGTTGTATCTACAGGGAGATGAGAAGAGCTTTCAAGTGGATTTGTAACCACTGTATGGCACAATTTTCTTCAAAGTAATGAGTTTTTCATTTGATCCGACGAGACCACGCGACGCTTGCAGACGACAGCGCGAACAGTTCACCAGCCACACTCCACGAAAGCAAGTACCGTAAAGTACCGCCAGAGCGCCCCGTCTCACGAGAGCGCCCCACCTTGATTTTACAGCCAGAGAAAGGAAAATCGTATGGCAGAGTGCAATGAAGTGTGTACGATGTGAGAATCTTAGTGTACTAAGGTCACACTTGGCAGGTTTTTGTGTGGAGCTTGTGTCCTCTTGAAGGTACGGATTGACTGCAAAACGTGCAATATGTGTACAAGGTTCATGTCGTATGACCTACAGACAGCAGACCACCTCCATAATACGACCACGAAAGGATGAGATGGTGGGGCGCTCTGGCGCTACTTTACGGTATTGTTACTCCTGACAAGGCTTGTTCCGTTCCATAACAATACGGGGAACTCATCAGAGGAGAAGCAGTTGTTGAATGAAGAGGTTAAGCTGAATAATGCTATTTTACAAAGAAGATACTGGCGCAAGGTGTGAACACTCAACTAACTCACATATGTGCCAAATCAACACAAAAGAAATAGTGCAGAATGGAGGTGTTATGAACCCTACCAGACATAACTATCACAAGTGCTAAGTCAATCACAATGAGAGGGAAACACGAATAGGTTACGCTAGTTTACACGTCACACTTGAGTGGTGACAAAGATAGGTGAAAAGTAGACGCCAAGTGAAAGCCAACAAATCATCACGGTCAGAAGGTCAGATCTGAAGGTTGCCAACTACATGAGACAAATACTTCACGAACCTCGAAAATTGACAATTCAGCCGACGGTAGGTGAAATGAAGGCTGCTGGGGTGTGACATGATCGAGAACTGCGGGCTGCTGAAGCGACAGATCCATAGTTCCATACACATCTTCACCGCAGGGTTGGCTATATTCCGAGCAGCAGATCATAACCTTCTTTCTGATCAAGAGTCGTGCGGTCTCGTCGGGTCAAATGAAAAATCTACCACTACTATTTGATGGACCTACTGAAGATGGCAACACAGAATTATGATTTCTCCTGGACCAAGAAACCTGCCATTGATCAGAAAGAAGGATGTGATCTGCTGCTCAGAATATAGCATTTGACGCCAATTTTGTTTTGCAAGGTTCAGTGTGACAGTGTTTACAGGCGGCAGCAGTACAGGCCAAATATTTGGTGCAGTTGAAATGTGTTTAGCCCTGGGAGGCCGAAATTTGAATGGGCCAAAAATCTGTAGACAAACAGTAAATCCATTTCATCACTTTTCGGATAATGGCCAAAAAATGATTCATTCTATGTGCTGTTGGTATCTAGATCCAAGTTTTGGCTCCAGTTTTGAAATCGTTCTACAGTCCATTCATTAAAAAAATAGGCTCTGGTGAGCTGCCGTTATTGGCGATTATATCAAAAACAAACAAATCCTCATCTTGCAATATCTGTGTTTTCATCAAAGACATGCGTACATGATTAACTTACGCACGCACAGACCCACACTTGACGTCCAGCTCCCGTCGTCTTGACAACTGATCTGTGCTGGTAGTGGTGGGGTGCGTTTTATGTCCCCGTGACGACGTCGAGACCTCAGGTCGGCTGAAGGCAAAAAAGCCTCACCATCACTATGCTCCCACTACGCAATTTGTTTGTCTTTGCCTGTGAGCTGTCATCATTGTAAAAAATATTTTTTTAACATGAGAAATCCAGGGTGTGCAGTGTAGTGTCCGACCAAATTTGCTCGGCCAACAGTGATACTTTGCGGCAAAATATTCCCCACGCGTCATAGATATTCTGCTTGGCAATGCCGTGCTCGCTCGGCATTTTGCCCAGATTTTGCTCCAAGAGAAAGCTTTCATTGAGGCCAAGAGTTTAAGAGGGTTCACGGAGGTTATGAACTCTTGTAGGGGCTGTGTACCACTATTAGTACTAGTTTACCCCGGTAGATATTGTGCTGGTGTCCAACATACCACCCGATTTTTTGATCGAGGACGACGATGAGCAGACTCCTGCTCCTGCTCCATCGCCAAGCGAGCGGCAGGTGGAGTTTATGGCTTGGTTTCGCAGCGCCAAGATGTCAGAGATATCGAGGAAAAGAAGTTCTCCTTCCAACCTCTCTCCGGGGAAATCCGGCGAAGCGCTCCAGTCCTGGTCGGACTGACCAGACCGACCATAGTAGATCAAGATTTGTGCGTAGTGTTTCGCCAAAGAAGAGGACTGAAGAGTTTCCTGAGCAGTGTTTGGTAGTCGATGCCGGAGAAATTGTTCTGCTCTGCCTGCAGAGAAGAGCTAGGCACCGAGAAAACCTCTATCTCCTCACATGTGCGGTCAGAAAAGCACCAAAAAGCGAAGCACAAGCTAGCAACAAAGGCCACGGGTGTTGAAACAATACCTCAGCATCTGAAGTCATATGCCAAGCAATTTCATCCTGTTGGGGAAATTTTGGCTCACTGTGCACGCGTGGTCTTTAGGGGAAATCCCCTAGCCTGCACAAAGTCACGAACAAAAAATTTGAATCCGTTGCCAAAAAGCGAAATTTGCGCATTCTGGCGGTTCAATTTGTCGCCGCTCAGTCATACCTTGTCGTACAGCGAAGAACTTTACATCCCTGGACAGCTGAGCTCAAGACCTTTCCAGCAGTGTCTCAACTCTAGACATCCGAGATATTTTGACGGAGTTATGACAGTTCGTACACTCGTCTACATGTACAGCCTTCGATACACATCATGTACTGTACAGTGTAGGCGGAACGCGTAAACACATTCATGGCCAATCTAAAAAATAAAATAAAAAATTCGACAGTTTTCGATTTTTCGATTCGATTTTTTTTATGGCCAATCTGCTCGTACTAAAAACGCTTTAGGGGTCGTCCATAAATATCGAACTTTTTTCACAAAACGAATCAATTTCGTTATGGGGTGGGAGGGGGTTGACCAATTTCGTTTCAAGAAAACATTGATCCATGTACATGGCCGTTGTATATGCATGTATGTCAACATTTTTTACGTTCTGAAGGGGAGGGAGGGAGGGGTTGGGTCTAAACTAAAATAATCCGTTTGGTGAAAAAAGTTCGATACTTACGGACAGCCCCTTAACGCGTCCATGGCATGAAAAGGGTTAATAAAATAGAAGTGCATATTTTGGGCAAGAGTGTGTTGCTCCCTACATGGGAGCTCGTGGGTTTCCTGCCGACTTGAATTCTCACTTGACTGACTCACGACTGCCATCCAGAGCACACGAGAAGTCCATCGAACCGTCCACTCGGCAATCCTGCAAGAAAGCACCACTCACTCTCTGCTCAATACCCAGTGTTGCGGGGGAATTCACCCCATCATCAGTTGAGCTGGAGCAGGCTATATATTTTGCGTATTTTTTGCATAATTATATTGGTGAGGCTAAAACATGTGCATACAGAACTACTCACGGACACATGGGCTTGTACTCCAGGTGCCATTGTCTTGGCATGTGATTGACGCGGGCAGTGATGGATTCATTGCGTAACCTGTACTACAAGTCACCATGGCGATGGCCCCGGCTGTGGTCTTGGGAAGTTGTGGGACACTGCCACCCTGAACAGTCGGTATGCCACAATCCCCTGAACAAATCAAGACACGATAGAAAGCTTTATCTCGGAGTGTTGGAGCTAGGTGTCAGGTCGTCGAATGTGTCAGTACTCCTTGTCAGTTTGTGTCTTTTTTCGTCGCATTCGCTGACTGTATACGATCTGGTTATGTTGGTGGCCAGTTAGTCATAACTCGTAACATTTCGTCCTTTCTTTTTATCCATGATAGAAAGCGATGATATTAGTTTAATGCCAGCTATACCGGTGAACATTCTCAGGTAGCTTTTCAAACCAACTAATCCTCCCACAAATTTGAGCGTTGTGAGTTTGACTTGCACATGTGCTCTCTCTCTCTCTCTCTCTCTCTCTCTCTCTCTCTCTCTCTCTCTCTCTCTCTCTCTCTCTCTCTCTCTCTCTCTCTCTCTCTCTCTCTGATACACTTCCTCTGTCCCACTTTCTCTATCTTACACACTATCTATAATCTCAATCTCTCAATCTCTCTACCTCTCACTATCTACCTCTATGTATCTCTACTCAATTTGCGGACAGAACTGTCTCGTCCATTGTGGACTCATCAGCGCAGCACAGAGAAAAAGCTGCTGAACCTGATAGCAATGAAAATTTCCAAAATTAAAAAAGAGAGGACCATGAGTTTACAAGTTATCCATTTTTTCCAACACTAACGACTATAAGCAGGATACTGGTGAGTCCAAAAGTGCAATAATTAGCACAAAACTGACTGATGTGATACGGACATTCAACGACCTGATGCTTAGCTGCATCTCCGATAACATGAGCCTCCCAAGTTGGGTGGTCGTTGTTTCGCGTTCTCGAAGTGAGCCGTGGCCGTCCTGTGCCGTGATCCTTCATCCTTCGTCATCATCTTGTCATAGCTAACATTCTTGGTTCGCTGTGATGTTTAGCTTGTTTTCGTCTAGAGTGCGCTCACCTTCCCCTTTCTTACGTTACTTCATAACTTAGAACATTCCAAGTTAGAAGGCTGCTGGTTTGCGCATTCCAAGACGTGATGCAGCTAAGCATCAGGTCATTGAATGTCAGTATCACATCAGTCAGTTTTGTGCTAATTGTTGCACGCTCTGACTCACCAGTATCCTGCTTATAATCGTTGTTGGACAAAACGGATAACTTGTAAACTTATGGTCTTCTCTTTTTCTATTTTTAATCCTTGGCTCTCCATCCGAGTTGGAATTTTCCAAAGCCAGATTTAAACCAGCCTGCTCGAACGTACCTTGCCAGAGTACTCAAACTGACAAGTCAGTGAGCTATTCATATCTCTTTCTATCTCTATCCATCTCTATGTACAGACAACTTCGCTAATAATGACTGCAGATATAACGACAATTCGCGAATAAAGACAGAATTTTCATGCCCAGAGCAAAGTCCCATCCCACTGTACTACATGTACTGTGGAATGGGTAATTTTAGCGACGTAAAAACCCCAGCGAATTTAGCGATCGACTCATTTTCGCTAAAGTTTCAAATCGCTAATCCGTTGAGACATTAGTAGTGCACTGGTGATCCGTGAGTAAAATCGCTGCAAATCGCTAAAATAAAACGTCGCTAACCAGTTGACAATGGGAAAACGCGAAAATTAATAGTCGCTAAAATTACCCGTTCTACAGTAATGAGACTTCGGGTATAACAACACTTTGTGAATAACGACACTTTTCTGATGCCCCGCCGAGTGTCGTTATAAGCGAAGTGGACTGTATCTCACTCTATCGATCACGTACTCTATCTCACTCTCAATCAATCTCACAACTCTCCCTCCATCTCATGCAGACTCTCCCGATGTCCCGAACACTCTTTCTCCATCTCACACACACTCTCTCCATCTCACGAACACTCCCCCTCCAACTCTCACACACACACTCTCTCTCTCTCTCAATCACACACACACACACACACACACACACACACACACACGTGCACACACACACACACACACACACACACACACACACATACATACGCACATAAGTATACATACACTTACACACATACACACACACATTCTCTCTCTCTCTCTCTCTCTCTCTCTCTCTCTCCCTCTCTCTCAATCTCACACACTCTCTCCCTCCTGCTGGCCGATGATTTATCCTCAGTCTGAGCCTTTTTTTACAAGATACGTACGCAGTGTGGAGAGGTGGACGGTTCAACTTACATATGCATGCTGAGGCATTGTTACCGTCCGTGCAAGCCGGCTGAACGCATGAGGGCAAGGTCAAGGCAAGGTCAAGGTGTGTGTGTGTGTGTGTTTGTGTGTGTGTGTGTGTGTGTGTGTGTGTGTGTGTGTGTGTGTGTGTGTGTGTGTGTGTGTGTGTGTGTGTGTGTGTCCAGTGCATGCCGGAGTATGTGGTGTGATGTGTTTGCGGGAAAAAAATGAAAAGACCAAAAATAGGGATTCACTGGCCAGAAAAAGTCACTTCAGATAGCTGTATGGTGTAGACCAGGCTGAATAGTGACGGTCAATTCTTCAGCCTTGCAAGCTGTTGAATGGTGCAATCCCAGCACAAGTTGCTATGGCTTCTGCCGTAGCATTGCTATCATCGCCTCCGGCGATGGGCGTCAAAGGTCAAGGTCAAGGTGTGTGTGTGTGTGTATGTGTGTGCGTGTGTGTGCATTGTATTGTTGTACCTTTCCATCGCCATCATAATATTGGGCAAGTCTGCCCGTTTGCGATGTTAAATAAAAACAAACAAACAAACAACAACAACATATGTGTATGGGCGTGCGTGCACATGTGCATGTGCATGTGTGTGGGGTGTGGGGGTGTGCGTGTGTGTGTGTGGGGGGGGGGGGGGGGGGGTGTGCGTGTGTGTGTGTGTGTGTGCACCTGCATGTGTCTGTGTGTGTGTGTGTGTGTATATGTATGCGGATGCTCGCGTGTATGCTCTGCTTGTCCATGCATGCAAGAACGTGCTGCACAAGGATGATGCAGCCCCCCCCCCCCCTCCCCCCACACGCACACACACACACACACACACACACACACACACACACACTCGTATTTCAACAATGGACTCTTACCGGGCGTCTGCGTGGCACCTGGCGTAGGGCTCAAGAAGACAACAACGACTAGAAGAAGCAGAACGTGATGATTGTGTTGCTGGCCAAGATGTTGGGGTAAGCCTAGCGACATTTTGAACACTTAAACCATTAGACCCCTGAGCAAGGAACACACCAGATGGAGACGATTAAATTACGCGAACATTTTATGGACATTCTGAACACATAAACCATTAGACCACCCCCGAGCAAGGAAAATACCAGAGGAGACGATTAAATTTAAATTATGGGGTCGTCCATAAATGTCAATATCAGATTTATATTCTTTTAGAGAAGGTCCGTTTTGGGGGAGGGGGTTTGGTCTCCGTTCGTCTCGTCTTTGTTAACCCATTGAACGCTGATGACGTCTATAGACGTCATTGAAAATGCCCCCCATGCGCGGGATGACGTCTATAGACGTCATGGGATATATAGTGATTTCTGGCACTGTCTGGTGTGTAAAAGCACTGTTAGTCAGTTGGTTGGTGATCCTGCCTCTTGTACGATAGGTCGTTGGTACGAATCCAGCTTGAAAACACTACGCGTCTTTTTTTTCTTCTCTTTTCAGCGATCTTTCAGCTGCAATTTCACGCATTTGGCGTATTTCACGCAATTTGAGCAAACTTGCGTCCCCTATTGTGAGGCGCTATTCTTTTTGGGGACTGTATCGATTCTGTCACCCTGTAGTTGATAGTCTTGGCAATCATTTCCAAAATATTTGAGAACCCCAGTTGCCAGAACCCTGGAGTTTTAGAACTTGCTATTGGCCCTGTTTTTAGCATTTTATATGCAGAGTACCATAGGCAAGGCCCAGTAGCGCTGAATGGGTTAAAAAAAAATGATCGAGTTGCTGCAGTTTTTGACTGTGTATAGACTAGGTACCGTGGCAAACAGTTACTCTCAACCCCCTCATAGCCATTATATATGTCCTTTTCCTCTCCATATGTCCTTTTGCTTTCTTTATTATTTCAATATTGGCTCAAAATCCGAGTTTCATATCTTTTCTTTCTCTACCTCTCGAATTGCTTGTTGGTTAGCCCGTTTCTTTCTCTCCTCCTTGTTTTGATGTGTTTGTGTGACTTCCTCTTCTCTCAGGCTGACTCCATTATGCGTGTTCTCAAATACTGTATAAGCAGAAATATTCGTCTGGAATTTAATTTCGTCTTTTTCCGTCCAAGGAGCGTTTGGACTAAATTAAATGTCGGACGAATGTCGATTTGTCCAGCTTTTCAATACACTCTTATGATCCATGGACGAACTTTACAGCCGGACGAACTCCCTTTCTTTGGAGCTGGACGAAATTATTGACCGGTGAAATGTTCTGCCTGTACACTAGAAGCTCTAACTTAGTTGAAGCATTTACCAAAGTGCGCGGCATCTTGCACCTGCATGTGATTGCAGGTGAGTCACGTTATCTTTCACACAGCCTTGCTTGCCTTCCTGCCGTCATATTTTCTTTTCTCACTCGCTTGACTATTAGGGAGTTTGGCACATTCTCCCTCCAGGACTTTTCACGCTCACCAGACCTCAAACCTTCACGGATTCTGTCCTATGCCACTGTCTAAATACCATACTAGCTGTTCATCACTGGGATCAGTTGTCTGAAGATTGCCATCTGGCATGAAGCTATTAGTTACGTGGTACTCTATGACTCGTGTGTAGCTCCGAATCACATACATTTTAATGGGGAAAGGCCATAGATATGGATGTGATGTCATTATTTCCACAGAAAGTGACAAAAGAGTAGTAATATTTCCACTGAAGCTCGCCCAAAGCTGCAAAGGGTGCCCGGTAGACCGAAGTGCCCATAACTTCCGGGTCCAGATAACCGAGGTATGAACGTACTAGTATTATCATTATCATACTGATATCACTACCGAGGCAGCCACAGAGAGAGCGTCAGAGAAGAGACAGACGGACGGACAGAAACAGATGGACAGACAGAAACAGACAGACAGACAGATAGACAGACAGACAGACAGACATCTAGACAGACAGACGGATATAAAGACAGACATACAGACAAACATACAGGCAGACAAACAGACATACATACAGACATACAAACAGACATACAGACAATGCAACGGATGATGGCCAGACCACACAACAAAAGCAAGACTACAATGCCATGTAGACTGATTGATTGATTGATACTGATGCAGTTCGTGAATCCCAAGGTTGGACCTGTGCTGCTATTTCGTCCTTTGGATATCAGGCTTTTTGCCGAGACAGACAGATAGACAGACAAACACACAGACACACAGGCAGGCAGGCAGACAGGCAGACATACAGAGAAGGAGCGAGAGAGGTATATTTCTGATTTACCTTGACACAGGGAGGAGTAGTGCTGCCGCGAGCCCACGGCAGCTATCCACATGAACTTCAATCTCCAGTAAACGTCTCCGGTGCTGGTGCTACGAATCAGCTGTTTTGTTGAACTGGCTAATCACACAGGCTATTCCGTATTCATGCAATGCTTATTCAAAAGTCTTTATGTATTGGAGCTGAAAGAATAAAACAAACTTGTGTTGCTGTTCCCTACTCTGGCCTCCGGCTCCGAGGAAAAAAATTCTCAGCTTTCCTTGGCCTAGCCTCTTGCTCGAAATGCAGTGTATAGTACGGGTACGCGTATACTATCTGCACTGTTGTTTGGTTGCTTCCCTTGCTTTGCGCGCGTGGCGTGGGGGATGTGTGATGTTCGTACGGGAATACAGGAACAGAGCACCACAAGCACGCGTGATCCGTGACCTGCTGAAAAGGTGAAAGTTGTCGCCCGCTTCATGCACGGATTCCGTTAGAAATCACCAGATTCTCATCAATAACCAAGGTCTCGCACTGGCCCAACAACACCCTTTGAAATCTGTATCCTACCGTTACATTGGGCCTAGAAAATTTTCAGGAAATTGTTCTCTGCCACTAGGTAGTGAACAACAGAAAAGCCGAGCGTGAGCCGTATTTGGGCTTCGTCACCTTTTGCGCAAAATGTGGCGCAGCAAGGCCATATATAGGCCATACACGTAGTAGCAAGAGTGCATAAACACTGTTTATGGACTCTTGATAGTAGACATAAGTCCCATACACACTATGCGTACGAACCCACCACGTGCACAAGGAAATAATTAATTCGAAAACAGGCGCCGACAAACACACAATCTCCAGTGAGTGAACTACACACGGAGATAACCTCGGCACTCGTCCGCAAGATTCTGCTGCACCCGGACTCCCAGGATGGAAATGTGCCATGGACCTGGTAGATCTACGGTCCACCAAGACTCAAGAGCTAGAGGGACGTGGCAAGTCCTATCCGCAGATCAACGGCCCACACAGCCAAGGATTTCATCCTGACATGTCGACACAGAACACGAACTGTTCTGATTATTTAAAAAAGAGAAAAAACACTTGAGAACGAGTTATGCAGCAACTATCCACGACTGTAACGAGATGATAAACGGTCAGAAAGTGCGATAATCACACACAACTGACAGGCTACTGAGACATTCAGCGACCCGAGACCTACTGTAACTCCAACACATCTCCAGTGCGCAAACCAACAGCCTTCCAGCTTGGAAGGTTCATGGTTACGTAGGACCGATGAGGGGAAGGTGAGCGCAGCGAAAATGTGCACAAGCTAAGTCCCGCGGCAACAAAGAATGTCGACTGTTACAGGACGATGATGAGACCAGTTAACAACATGACAAATAAAAGCGGTCTGACAATTCGAAGCAGCAACTCGTTCTCATGTGTTTCTTCTCTTTTTTACATTTCTATTACTGGCTCAGTATCCGAGTTTAGTTCTGAATATAATTATTGACCTTTGATAAATACCCACACTCATTAGTGACCACACCATCAACGGTATCAAATTCAAATAAATTTGCTTTGACTCAATAAATACCACTGCACTTTTCCATGTAGCACTCCACTTTTCCCTAAAAAGGAGTATTTTATAAACAGTATGTATTGGCCTTAGTGGTATTATTTTTATAAACAGTATGTATTGGCTTTTGACCCAATAAATACTGTTTATAAAATACTACTAAGGGCAATAAATACTGTTTATAAAATACTCCTTTTTAGGGAAAGTGAAGGTCAACATATGTATAATAAATGTAGTAGCCTCAGGATTTATTGCAATTACATACCAGTTATAAAAACCTCGGCGGACCTCGGTTTTTGTACGTACGTAATTGCAATAAATCCTTTAGGCCTTCGGCTCTACATTTACTTATTATTATTAAAGGGGAAGTTAAGGCAAAAATCAAAATTTCACCAGTTGTAGTCTTCGGGGTGCTGAGTCGAATGGTCTTGGTCCGAGAAAGCTGAGACGCTCCCTTCCTTCTTGAATCCCAATCGAACTCGCGCACTTCCACCGAAACTGGGTGACTGCGCCCTACTAGATGGGGATTTGTATGCAAAATGTCACTAAAAGCGCCGTTTCGTTCTTATAAAAGCAAGGATGACCGCGATTGGCCCATATGTTGTAGTCTTTTGGACGCTGAGTCGACTGGTTTTGGTCCGAAAAGGCTGCGATGCAGCGTTCCTCCTTTATTCCCAATCGAACATGGTTGAAAAAGTGGTCACGTGCTCCTGGTTGCCCAAATCACCTGGTCACCACGCCAGCAGGCGACAACTTTCACACCAAGGTTCAACTCGAGTTCAACTCGAGCAAGAGTCCATAACCTGATAACCCCCCAGAGTGTGCAACTCGTGATCTTTCTCAGCACAAATCAGTGCCGCAGCCAAATCCAAACTTCATACGTCATGTAGTGAGTAGCGGATATGCACATGGCCCCATCCGCCCATGCTTGACTATGGACCGGATGACGCAATGTTTGGATTTCGTTGCGCCAGACCCCAACCTGGAGTTGCACACTCTGGGGGGTTATGGACTCTTGACTCGAGTGACAGGAGTGCACCCAAAAAAGGTCAAACAGGCTAGTAAGTTGTACCCTCTAGGCACGGTGACCAGCTGACTGGTGTACGCAGGAGCACGTGACCACATGTTCAACCATGTTCGATTGGGAATAAAGGAGGAACGCTGCATCGCAGCCTTTTCGGACCAAAACCAGTCGACTCAGCGTCCAAAAGACTACAACATATGGGCCAATCGCGGTCATCCGTGCTTTTATAAGAACGAAACGGCGCTTTTAGTGACATTTTGCATACAAATCCCCATCTAGTAGGGCGCAGTCACCCAGTTTCGGTGGAAGTGCGCGAGTTCGATTGGGATTCAAGTAGGAAGGGAGCGTCTCAGCTTTCTCGGACCAAGACCATTCGACTCAGCACCCCGAAGACTACAACTGGTGAAATTTTAATTTTTGCCTTAACTTCCCCTTTAAGGCCTTCGGCTCTACATTTACTTATTATTATTAAAGGGGAAGTTAAGGCAAAAATCAAAATTTCACCAGTTGTAGTCTTCGGGGTGCTGAGTCGAATGGTCTTGGTCCGAGAAAGCTGAGACGCTCCCTTCCTACTTGAATCCCAATCGAACTCGCGCACTTCCACCGAAACTGGGTGACTGCGCCCTACGAGATGGGGATTTGTATGCAAAATGTCCCTAAAAGCGCCATTTCGTTCTTATAAAAGCACGGATGACCGCGATTGGCCCATATGTTGTAGTCTTTTGGACGCTGAGTCGACTGGTTTTGGTCCGAAAAGGCTGCGATGCAGCGTTCCTCCTTTATTCCCAATCGAACATGGTTGAAGAAGCGGTCACGTGCTCCTGGGTGCCAAAATCACCTGGTCACCACGCCAGCAGGCGACAACTTTCACACCAAGGTTCAACTCGAGTGACAGGACTGCACCCAAAAAAGGTCAAAACAGGCTGTAAGTTGTACCAAGAGTACATTATGTACTCTTGGTTGTACCCTGCAGGCACGGTGACCAGGTGACTGGTGTACGCAGGAGCACGTGACCGCTTGTTCAACCATGTTCGATTGGGAATTAGGGGCGAACGCTGCATCGCAGCCTTTTCGGACCAAAACCAGTCGACTCAGCGACCAAAAGACTACAACATATGGGCCAATCGCGGTCATCCGTGCTTTTATAAGAACGAAATGGCGCTTTTAGTGACATTTTGCATACAAATCCCCATCTAGTAGGGCGCAGTCACCCAGTTTCGGTGGAAGTGCGCGAGTTCGATTGGGATTCAAGCAGGAAGGGAGCGTCTCAGCTTTCTCGGACCAAGACCATTCGACTCAGCACCCCAAAGACTACAACTGGTGAAATTTTGATTTTTGCCTTAACTTCCCCTTTTAATGTTGACAAAACCGTGGTCATGAGGATCTTGCCGAAGAATGCTCCTGACGTACAAAGACCCGTTCTTGTTGAGCTGGGCGGCACTACCTTAAGGGAAGTGAGTGTAATTCGCTGCCTTGGTATCCTTATCGATAACAAGCTCTCATTTGCTCCACACGTAGATCACCTCACCAGCAAGGTGTCACGCAAGATAGGCGCGTTGCGACGCACCTTCCGCCAAAT